TAACGTACTGAATTAAGCCTAGAGTGATGTCTGCCAAGTTTGGAGAAAATCGGTCCAAATTTAGATATAGCTCCCATATATAGTTTCGTCCGATTTCATGTAAATGGTGCCTCAAAGTCCCTATATAACTTTCGATTTGCACGAAATTTGGCATAACGTACTGAATTGAGCCTGGAATGATGTCTACCAAGTTTCGAGAAAATCGGTCCAGATTTAGATATAGCTCCCATATATAGTTTCGTACGATTTCATGTAAATGGTGCCCCAAAGTCCCTATATATCTTTTGATTTGCACGAAATTTGGCATAACGTACTGAATTAAGCCTAGAGTGATGTCTGCCAAGTTTGGAGAAAATCGGTCCAGATTTAGATATAGCTCCCATATATAGTTTCGTCCGATTTCATGTAAATGGTGCCTCAAAGTCCCTATATAACTTTCGATTTGCACGAAATTTGGCATAACGCACTGAATTGAGCCTAGAATGATGTCTACCAAGTTTCGAGAAAATCGGCCCAGATTTAGATATAGCTCCCACATATAGTTTCGTACGATTTCATGTAAATGGTGCCCCAAAGTCCCTACATAACTTTCGATTTGCACGAAATTTATCATAACGTACTGAATTGAGCCTAGAATGATGTCTGCCAAGTTTCGTGAAAATCGGTCCAGATTTAGATATAGCTCCCTTTTATTATAGATTGATTTTAAGTAATTGACGTACTAAGGAACCAATAGAAACAAAACGTTCTGAAATTAGTATAACCTAACCTGTGACAAGTTTGTTTGAAATCGCTTAATATTTGGATAGAGCTTCCATATATATTTTCGACCGATTTCAAGTAAATTGGGCATCAGACTCCTCATGTTAGTCAGATTGACATCAAATTGTGCACAACGCACAAAATTGAGCATACAATTACGTAGTTGCGTTTTCTAGAAGTACAGACATAGCCCAACGGACTTATTTATATTTGTTTGAAGTCGATTAACATACTTTATGGATAGATCTAGGTAGATTCACATTTAGATAAATATTACTTTTTTTCATCCAATTACATGTTAATAGTCCTGTTTAATATACCCATAGTGGTGAAGGGTATCATATAGTCGGCCCCGTCCGACTTTACTACTTTCCTTACTGGTTTTTTTTATGTGTTAAGGGTTCTGTCTCGTCTTGTCCATCTTGAAATAAAGCTTGGTTGTTTTATGATTTATGTCTATGAATAAAAATGGGTCACTGACATTTACCACACACAGATGATAGAGGGCTAAATACATCGAGGTGTTTATGTTTTATATGGTGGGCAGTCATATTTTAAATGGCTTGATATTTCTTTTCGTTCTTATTTTTATAATTTTTTTGTGAGGGATATGATCTCTTTTTTTTGTGTTGTTGTCATTTCTCATTGCATTTATTGTTTTATGTTCATGTGTATCACTCACTGTCCGCCCCATGACTCATAATAAAAATGTTGTGATTTGTTGTGCAAATTCTTGCTTAAATGTTTAAATTCCAATTGGAGGGAAACCGGTTTGCTTGATTTTCTTTTATTTAAATCATTATTTGCCTGGATGGCTAGCTGTCAATCTCATACTTGTGAGACCAGCTACTGTTCTCTCAATGACTTTCTCTAAGAGAGAATTAATGGGTTTGCCGCCAGCCACAGCATTGTCTTTTTGTTTTGTTTTCACGTCAAGGGTTCCATCTTTTATTTCGTCTGGTTGCCAGTCTGCTTAGTTTTCTTTCTTCAACAACACAGAAACCAAGTTTAAACATGATTCACACACTTCTATAGCTTTTTTTATTGTTGTTTCCCAGCTCATAAACTTTCTTTGTCAATTGTGGATGGATACAAAAACCACAAAAAATAAGAATGCAAAACAAAGATATGACTTTCATTGGCATGCTGCCTATGTTGTCACTCATCCACCCTAACGAGTCATGCATGCATATGCCTGTAACATATTGCATAAATTCGGTTTTTGTTGTTGTTTTCTTTTGAAATTCTCTGTGTGACTGGTACATACAAAGGTGTATCATTTATTAAATAGATGATTGTTAATGGGAATTGAAACCGGTATATTTATTTTGACAATCATTTAGCACTTGTTTTTTGCGCTAGTTATGAGTCATACTACACATTCACCTGTAACAGTACACCAAATAAAATATAATAGCTATTTATTTTAGTGACTTAAATTGCTATGTGATTTGTTGGGAGACTAGGAAACATTTGGTAATTTACTGGAAAAAAAACCCAAAACCAAAGCTTCCAACAAGATGTGTTTTTTATGAATTACCTTGTATTTCAAATCTCATATATAGACCTCGGATTTTGCATATTTGCATATTTTTTAATAATGAAGATATCGAAATTCTGATTGGACACAAATTCGTTTCAAAGGATTTAGAATTATTTGAAGGGTTCATATTTTTTAATTTTTTGCATATTTGCATATTTTGCATATGCACGAGATATGCAAAAAATATGCAAAATATGCAAAAAATATGCAAAATATGCAAAAAATATGCAAAATATGCAAAAAATATGCAAAATATGCAAAATATATGCAAAATATGCAAAAAATATGCACGGTATGCTAGGTCGATATGCGATAAATATATGCAAAAAATATACAAAATATGCATTGTCGATATGCAAAATATGCAAAAATATGCAAAATATATGCAAAATATGCAAACATATGCAAAATATGCAAAAATATGCAAAATATGCAGACATATGCAAAATATGCAAAACATATGCAAAATATGCAAAAATATGCAAAATATGCAAAATGTGCAAAAATATGCAAGATATGCAAACATATGCAAAAATATGCAAAAATATGCAAAATATGCAAAAATATGCGAAATATGCAAAATATGCAAACATATGCAAAATATGCAAAAATATGCAAACATATGCAAACATATGCAAACATATGCAAAATATGCAAACATATGCAAACATATGCAAAATATGCAAAAATATGAAAAATATGAAAAAATATGCAAAATATGCAAAATATATGCAAAATATGCAAACATATGCAAAAATATGCAGACATATGCAAAATATGCAAAAATATGCGAAATATGCAAAAATATGCAAAATATGCAAAAATATGCAAAATATATGCAAACATATGCAAAATATGCAAACATATGCAAACATATGCAAAATATGCAAAACATGCACGGTATGATAAGTCGATATGCGATAAATATGCAAAATATATGCAAGAATATGCAAAAAATATGCACGGTATGCTAGGTCGATATGCAATAAATATGCAAAAATATGCAAAATATGCAAAAAATGCGAAATATGCAAAATATATGCAAAATATGCAGACATATGCAAAATATGCAAAAAATATGCAAAATATGCAAAAATATGCAAAATATGCAAACATATGCAAAAATATGCAAAAATATGCAAAATATGTGCAAATATGAGCAACATATTTCACATATGCAATCATTTTAATAAAAAAAAGTTTTTTCATGGTAGTTTTCGAATTTGTGTGCTTTATTTATTTTTAGCCTATAGAAATCTAATTGTGCATGTATGCGTTTCATGGTTCAACTGTTAGATTTTTGGGGCATTATGAAAAATTTGCAAAATATATATATATATATATATAACATGCAAACATATATAACCGTTATATGGCGATATACTAAAACGTGGACCGATATATCCCATTTCCAATACCAAACATCTTAGGAGTAATAATAATTTATGTGCAAAATTTCAAAGTTCTATCTTTAATATTGCGACCTAGCATGCCGTGCATATTTTGCACATTTTGCATATTTTTGCATATTTTGCATATTTTTGCATATTTTTGCATATGTTTGCATATTTTGCATATGTTTGCATATTTTGCATATATTTTGCATTTTTTGCATATTTTGCATATTTTTGCATATTTTTCATATTTTTGCATATTTTGCATATGTTTGCATATGTTTGCATATTTTGCATATATTTTGCATATTTTTGCATATTTTGCATATTTTTGCATATTTCGCATATTTTTGCATATTTTGCATATGTCTGCATATTTTTGCATATGTTTGCATATTTTGCATATATTTTGCATATTTTGCATATTTTTTCATATTTTTCATATTTTTGCATATTTTGCATATGTTTGCATATGTTTGCATATTTTGCATATGTTTGCATATGTTTGCATATGTTTGCATATTTTGCATATTTTTGCATATTTTTGCATATTTTTGCATATTTCGCATATTTTTGCATATTTTGCATATTTTTGCATATTTTTGCATATGTTTGCATATCTTGCATATTTTTGCACATTTTGCATATTTTGCATATTTTTGCATATTTTTGCATATGTTTGCATATTTTGCATATGTTTTGCATTTTTTGCATATTTTGCATATGTCTGCATATTTTGCATATTTTTGCATATTTTGCATATGTTTGCATATTTTGCATATATTTTGCATATTTTGCATATCGACAATGCATATTTTGTATATTTTTTGCATATATTTATCGCATATCGACCTAGCATACCGTGCATATTTTTTGCATATTTTGCATATTTTTGCATATTTTGCATATTTTTTGCATATTTTGCATATTTTTTGCATATTTTGCATATTTTTTGCATATATTTTGCATATTTTTTGCATATATTTTGCATATTTTTTGCATATTTTTTGCATATTTTTGACATGACCCCAAATATCGATCAATTAAAGCATGAAACGCCTAAATACAAAATTTGAGTCCAATCGGATAAAGCATAAAAAATATGCAAAAATCCGAGGTCTACTCATATAGTAATATGGAGGTTGTAAAAAATTCAGCCTTTTCGCGAACATAACGACTTCATACATTTCTATAATTTTTTTCTTTTCAACCGAAATTCTTTTGTATGGAAATGTCAAGTATTGAGAATTTGTTTCTTTCTTTTCGAAATCATATATCACAACCATTTTGATAAATAAGTGTTACATCATACTCTCCATTACCTGATAACTATTGGCCATCATTTCCAAAATATTCGTACTGGATGATGAACCACCCAAATTCTTATCATCCGTACCGAACATCATCAAATGTAAACGATCCATTAAATGATGTACGGAATATGCATTGGGCGCCACAGTCCATTCGGCAAATTTCACCAGCGTATCCATTTCCAATTTATCCTGATAGGTTTCATATTGTTGCATTTGTTGGAAACGTGATGATATACGATTCATTGTATCCGATATTTCATTACGTTTAGCCAGCAATTGTAGATTACCTTCGACGAAATTATTAACCGAATCGATGGCTAAGGCAATTTGTTCGGCATGCTATTTGATTATTGGTGGATTTGAAGAATTACATTTTTATGTATTTCATGTTTTATTCATTTTCATTAGTTTTGCTTTTCGCCAAGGGAAATAGGGAAAATGGTCGGGCGTAAGATTAATTATTTAAAATCAAATCATTTATTTCATATCACTTCATTTAAATTCTATATTTTCAATTTTTGACAGCATTTCCCTTATTTCCCCTGCTGCTGCTGCTGCTGCTCGATTCATTACCTGATCCTCCGTTTTTATAATCTGATTACTGACTTCTCTCAAACGTGAGAGAACTTTCTTTTGTTTATCTCTCATTAGAGGAAAATCAATATCCGAATTTGAGGTAGAAATTTTTACAATATCCCAGGCTTTCAAAACGGCCGTTGTTACTTCCTTCACCACATGCAAGACATCCAAAACATCTTCGATTAAAGCGCTTGAGGGTGGGGGCTTACAGCTCAGCACAGCCAGGAATATAATGAGACCCAACGAATAGCGTTTTAAATGCATTTTTAGTTTTTGTTATTGTTGTATTTATTTATTAGTTCTACCGGAAAAAATAACTAACTGCTGAATACCACAATGACAAACGCGTTGATACACTCCGACCAGACACCACACACACTTTGAATACAAAACAAATCAATTCAGAATAATTCACGTTTTCACTTAGCAGTTAGTAGCTCAACACCGTATACAATAAATAACACGAGCGTTTGCATAAAAAAAATACAAAGAAAAAAACTTGTTTTTTTGTTGTTGTTGCTTTTTTCTTTGCTTCTTGTTCTTCTATTTTGTTAAATCACTTTTTTTTTGGATTTTAATTTTCTTCGGTTTTTCTTTGAATGCGTTCCAATGACTAGATTAATATGTATAAAAAACTACACTGTTACTGTTGTTATTTGTTGTAATCATACAACATTCTCCTGCAATCACCACTACTGGCTTTTATTTTGTTGTTTTCTTTTTAGGTAATGTTAACAACGCGTTGTCATATGGCCAGCCATTGCCATCAACCACAACCAGTCGCTTCAAGAGTTCAATTCTATTTGATTTGACGACTTCAATCGTCTCTATTTCATAGCAGTGATATTAATGTCCATTAACTTCTCCCATATGCATGTCCTCTCTCTCTCTCCCATGCACTTTGTTTCTCTTTCTCTCCATTCGGTCTCCCAATTTAATTTACCGTAATTGGAATATAACACCATGATAATGGCATGTTGATACGACTCTCTCATGCATAGAGCAGACAGAGATGGGAGATTTGAATTGTTTGTTGTGCTCTTTGATATAATGACAGGCATTAAAATAGAGGAAAATGTGGATTTGTTTATTTAGAAAAATAAATATTCTTTAAAAAATTCACGCCTTATTGGACCTTGGGGAAAATATTCTTTAAAAATCGACGCCTTGCTGGTTCTTTGAGAAACTATTTTTTAAAATATTGTTGAATTAAAAAAAAAATATATTCATTAAAAAATCCATCCAATTTTGGACCTTGGAAAATATTCTTTAAAAAATCTACGCCTTGTTGGATTTTGGAAAGAAATATTCTTTAAAAAATCTACGCCTTGTTGGATTTTGGAAAGAAATATTCTTTAAAAAATCTACGCCTTGTTGGATTTTGGAAAAAAATATTCTTTAAAAAATCTACGCCTTGTTGGATTTTGGAAAGAAATATTCTTTAAAAAATCTACGCCTTGTTGGATTTTGGAAAGAAATATTCTTTAAAAAATCTACGCCTTGTTGGATTTTGGAAAGAAATATTCTTTAAAAAATCTACGCCTTGTTGGATTTTGGAAAGAAATATTCTTTAAAAAATCTACGCCTTGTTGGATTTTGGAAAGAAATATTCTTTAAAAAATCTACGCCTTGTTGGATTTTGGAAAGAAATATTCTTTAAAAAATCTACGCCTTGTTGGATTTTGGAAAGAAATATTCTTTAAAAAATCTACGCCTTGTTGGATTTTGGAAAGAAATATTCTTTAAAAAATCTACGCCTTGTTGTGGATTTTGGAAAGAAATATTCTTTAAAAAATCTACGCCTTGTTGGATTTTGGAAAGAAATATTCTTTAAAAAATCTACGCCTTGTTGGATTTTGGAAAAAAATATTCATTAAAAAATCCATCCAATTTTGGACCTTGGAAACATATTCTTTAAAAAATTTACGCCTTGTTGGATTTTGGAAATAAATATTCTTTTAAAAATCCACCCCTTGTTGGATTTTGGACCTTGGAAAAATATTCTTCAAAAAATCTACGCCTTGTTGGATTTTGGAAAGAAATATTCTTTTAAAAATCTACCCCTACCCCTTGTTGGATTTTAGAAAGAAATATTCTTTTAAAAATCTACGCCTTGTTGGATTTTGGAAAAAAATATTCTTTAAAAAATCTACGCCTTGTTGGATTTTGGGAAAAAATAATCTTTAAGAAATCAATGCCTTTTGGGACCTTGGAGAAAATATTTTTTAACAAACCCACGCCTATAACCGATGTTGTAGGAATTTGACATTGCGGGTTGTTCTTAGAGGATGCCGAATATGTTCAATACAAGTCCATTTTTCCGATTGCCGCCAAATATAGATTACTTATTATTTTAGGGGCTTTTCTGGTCCTAGGTGAACTTTCCAAACGAAGTAGCTGTAATTTGGCATTTCGTGTTGTTGGAAATATAAATTATCGTATATAAATCCATATTTTGACATATATCTGTCTCATTTTATTTGAAATTCTGAGTTCTTGGTGGGAAAAAATGGTTCAGATTTAGATAAAGCTCCAATATATATTTTCGATTTCATGCAAATTGTGCATCAAACTCTGCGCTCTGAATTAAGTGCCGATTGACGTATGTATGTTTAGTTTTGTAATAATTGCTTCAAATATAAATATAGCTCCCATATACTATATTTTATTCCGATTTTATATAAATGGTGGACAAAAGTTCTATATTTGCTTTTATTTTGTACGAAATTGAGCATAGCTAAGTTTCGATGAAATCGCATCAGATTTAATTATAGCTCCCATATATGTGTTCGTCCGATTTTGTGTAAATGGTTTACTAAACTCCCAATATTCGATCGATTAAGATGAAATTTGGACCGTACCGTACTGTATTGAGTCTATTTGTGAGGTGTGTTAAATTTTTTTCTGAAATCGGTTTAGATTTAGATATAGCTTCCATATACATTTTCTTCCGATTTTTCGTAAATGATGCACCAAATCCCACATATTTCTTCCGATTTAAACGAAATTATGCATAGCGTATTAAATATGAATATAGCACCCATATAACCATAAATAACATATAAAAAGTTTTATTGAAATAGGTTCAGATTTAAATATAGCTCCTCCATATATGTGTATTAAGTTTTATTAAAATCTTTTCAGATTTAGTTATAGCTCTCATATATATGTTCATCCGATTCTGTTTAAATGGTGCACCAAAGCCCCTATATTTATTTTTTCGATTTAAACAAAATAAAGCATAGCGCATTAAATTGAGCCTAAAATGATGTGTGCTAAATTTCACTGAAATCGATTTAGATTTAGATATAGCTCCTATATATATTTTCGACCGATTTCCTCTGAATGACACAAGAAATACACAAAGTTTGCCCGATTGTTACGGAATTTTGTTCAAACCCTCTACTTACATCATAATATTTGGCCAACAATTCCAAACCACTTGCTGCTGACCTACGATAATCATCTTGCCGTCCAAATAATTCCAAATGTAGCAATTTCAATAAATGTTCCACCGATTCTGTACTGGGATGGACAAACCAATATGCCATCGACACCAGAGATGAGGGTTCCAATGTTTGGAAATTCATTTCGAAATTTTTCATATGACGATACATGGAATCAATGCGATGTCGTATACGCTCGACGCGTGTGAACAGCATCAAAGCTTGGCTGGTCGAGATAAAGCGGTTCATTGTCGTTTCCCTAAAGGCAATATTGAAATGTGATTGCTGGGGGAAAGAAACAAAAAAGCATATCAAAATTAAGTTTCAATTTATTTGTGTTCTTTGGTTACTTTTTTCTTCTTCTTACTTTATCCACCATATTATCAATGTCCTGGGTAAGCGATTTTATTTGCATTAGAACTTTTTTCTGTTTATCACGAAATACGGGCAGTTCCAAGGGATCATAATTTGCCGTCACAACATCTGGGTTTTTATCTTCACCCACCAGGTACTCCCAAAACTGATAACTGGCATCCAAAATATCATAGAGATCTTCGATGAAACATTGTGCCTTCAACGGATAATGGATGGCCAATAGCAGCAGGGCCATTAGACAAAGGTGATGGTATTTATTTTGAAAATACATTATTTTTTCCCTCGCTGTCGAATAGGGTTCCGACACTTATTACATTACTATCTACACTAAAGTGTAGATGTGATTTATTTCTTATTTTAAATGCCACGGCTGATAGCATTCCGAAAACGTAGAGATAAGCGAAGAAGAGAGTACATCTTCAATGGTATGGTTTACTATATGGACTATTTTGTATTGATTATGTTTTTATTAAAAAAAATATTTTTAATATTTATATATAAATAGCTGTCCACTCAATATATTCAAATCTGAACAGATACAAGACACTGTAGAAAATTTCATCGCAAACTATCGGACAAACTTTGAGCATTAGGTTTAGGACCGTTTAAATGAAATCGAGAAAAAATATATACGGGGGGACTATATCGAAATCTGAATCGATTTCAACAATACCCAACACGCTTAATTTAAAACTTAATTCGTACCCAAGAGAAAATTTACATGAAATCGGATGAAAATATATATGGGAGCTATGTATAAATCTGAACCGATTTCACACTTCATTCTAGACCTAACTTGGTACGCTGTGCCAAATTTCGTCGTAATCGGACAAAGATTGGCTATTTGGTGCAGAATTTACATAAAATCGAAAGAAAATATATATATGGGTGCTATATCTAAATCTGAACCGATTTCAGTGAAACTTAAGACACTCCATTCTACACTTAATTTGGTACGTTGTGCCAAATTTCATCGTAATCGGAAAATGATTGCGTATTTGGTGCACCATTTACTTAAAATCGGGAGAAAATGTGTATGGAGCCATACCTACATCTGGACCGATTTCAATAAAATTGAACACAAGTCATTCTAGGCTCAATTCGGCAGGCTGTGCCAAATTTCATCACAATTGAAGAAACTTTCGCTATTTGGTGCAGAATTTACATGAAATCGGATTAAAATATATATGGGAGCTATATCTAAATCTGAATCGATTTAAGTGAAACTTAACACACCTCATTCCAGACTCAATTTGGTACGCTGTGCCAAATTTCATCACAATCGGACAATGATTGGTGTTTGGTGCACCATTTACTTAAAATCGGAAGAAATTATGTATGGGAGCTATACCTACATCTGGACCGATTTCAATAAAATTTAACACAATTCATTCTAGGCTCAAATCGGTTGTCTGTGCAAAATTTCGTCACAATCGGACAATAATTGGGTACCAAAGTGCATAAGGATCTTAGCTTTATATGCGGTATATGTCAAAATATGAACGAACCTAAGTTTTTCCGCAAATATCCTTTTTTACTTTGCACGAACCCCTAATGTAAAATAAAAGCCACTTCTGTGCGCAAATATATATTTAAAATACCTAACCCCGGAGAAAACTAAATATCCAGGTCGTAAAATTCGGATTGGATCTTCAAAATGGATCGTTAGCGAAAAAATTTTCCCCCAACAAGTACCCAGAATGCCAAACTACAGGCTCATCGGTATATAATGTGTTTAGGATCATCAAAACACCTAAATCGGAGCGGTAGATTTTTTATGGGGCCAACTTTGAAATATATTTTTTTCAAATACGTTTTTTACCCCCCCAGGAAACCTAAATTTAAAATTTAAACCACTTCGATGCAAAAATGCAGTTAAAACCTTCAGGCTCGAACATTTCTTGCAAACATTTTTATCGCCCACTAAGAACCTATAATGTCAAATTAAAATTACTTCGGTGCGAAAATGTGGTTACAACTTTCAATGTTCTGAAAATCGAGCGGGACCTTTACATGCGACCGGTGACAATAATATTATTTTAATAATCCAGGATCTGGTAGTCTTTGAAAAATAATCTTTTAAAAAAATCTAGACTTCCAGTAATCCTAAAAATATTCTTTTTTAAAAATCCACGATTTGGTAGCCCTTCAAATGATTTTTATTAAAATATCCTCTATTCTGCTAGCTATTACAAAAAATCTTCAAAAAATATTCGGTGAAATGCTGGAAATTCTCAATGTATCCACCTCCCTTTATCGAATAACCTAATAAAAATGTTGACATCTACAAATCTATATTTCTTGACCCGACATTCCTTTCTCCAACAGCTTCTTTAGACTACGATCTAAACTATTGTCAAAAAGAACCCTCGGATTAACAATAAAAAAATCTTCATCTTCTTTTTTTATTTCAGAGTTTCTTCTATGAAATCTTGGCCGGCATCTGGGTCCGCAATGGTCTACAAATTAAGGGACAAGCCATGACCTATATACAAGCAAATTTCTGCAATTCCATGGCCGATATGGATCTGTTCTTTTTACAAATTTGTGCCACCAATATGCCGCAGTGTTTCTTCCTCCACAATACCATTGAGATGTTTGGCGTGGCCCAATGGCTGGAAACGGCACCGCTAAAGCAAACCCAAAAAATGGAACAAACCTCAATGTTGGAAGGCTTTCTGACATTCCTCGCCACATTGGTCACCAGTCGTACAAATTTGGGCAATGATGAGGCCACCCAGTGTATCATTGAAATTAGTGCTCTCTTGGCGACGGAAAATAAAACCCATTCTCAGCTGTTGGAGTTGATGCCGGAACGTTCGGGCAATGTGCATACGAAAAATTTCGAAACTTTCCTAAAACAGCTTTCCGTTTATAAGGCACCATCGGCTGGTTCGGAAAATCTCGAACAAGGTCTTTTCACTCCCATCGATCAGGTGTGGGAGGAATACTATGACCCGCTGCATGTCCTCTTGCGTGCTGTACATCGTCGTGATTTCCAATCTTCGTTGGATCGTTTTACCAATTATGTCAAGTCCAAGAATCGTATGCCGGCCAGCGGAAATCTGTGGCCACCATTCCGTTTACCTCGCCCTGTGGGTGCCGCTTTCAGTGATCCCTGTCGCATCCTCAATTCTCGTATCTTCCATTCGACCATTTTATCGATTTTGTATCGTGCTGTACATTCACGTGATGTATCCGAACACCTATTAGCCTTAGCAATATTCCTCTTGGAAATTGCCGTCGAAACTAGCGAAGATACCAAACCGTCAGGCGGTGGCAGTGATAAGGCTGCCGTGGTGGAGTGTGAAGACCAACAAAGACCCTGCTATCCCTTTGGCATGCGTCGAGATCCACCTAAGCTCTTCAAATGCTATCCAACCAACAATCTTAGCTGCAATCTGAGGCATGTGGTTACGAAAATCTCCCTGAAGTCACAGGATCCACAAGTAACCCCAGCCCATTATAGACCATCGAATCCATTTTACACAGATGTTGATTTCGATATTGATGATACGCCCAGTATGGATATTACACCGGCCTGGGGATATGGTGTTGGTGGGGGCGATCGCAATTTGAGTGTAGTGCATAGCTCTTCCGCACCCAATGCCGGGGCTGCCACCTCAACCGCAATTGTGCCTATGCGTTTGCAAAACATGGAAGTTGCACTGCCAGCAGATTTATCTGTAGTACCCGAAACCGGCCTAGTAATACGGCAAGATAGCCAAGAGGATGATTCCGTACGTGAGGTGGGAAATGCAATTGCTGGAGCGTCGGGAGGCGCCGTCTCCAGATCGCCCGCAGTGGAATATCGTTTCTCCTTACAACCCATCACAATGCCTACGCCAGAGAATACGGGCATGGAAGTAGTTTTACGTGATAGCCAGGCTGCAGGTACATCAAATGCGGTTCAGACAACCACCGCCACACAACATCAAAGTCAAACACAGTCGGATATGTTAACACCTACAACGCCCAATGCCATGGGCAGTCTTATACCATTTCCCCGCGTCCAACCTGTGGCCGTACCAAGCACGAATATGGACATAATACCCTCCAACCCGGGTGCATTGGGTGTGGGTCGTACACGCCTTGCCTATGAGGTCAGTAATCGCAAGCGGTCGGTGGAGAATGCCATAGATGGCAATGGCAAAGATGATGTTGTCATTGAGGAAAGTATAATCTCGTTGCTGCTGAAGTTGCACTCCCAGCTAAGTGGCACCCTCGACAGTTTCTCTATCAGTGAGGATGATGATCAGGAGGAAGCTGAGACGACAAACCAATCATCTGCCATGGATGTAGACTGTGAAGATTCCACAGAGGAACCTTCTACTTCTTCGGCAGCCAAAGCAGCGGCTGCCTCTAGTCAAAGCAAGAAGCGTAACATTAAAGTCTCCGATTCTCGAGTTGGTGATGGGCCATTCTTTATAGGAAATCTCCTAAGGAAAATTGCCAAAAACGATGAATTGTGTGCTCAGAACATCGATGAGATACGGCGTAAACTGTGGCCAAATCAACGAGAAAAACAAGCCGAGGCGAGGGCTCGCGAGGCGAAGGAAAAGGAGGAACGACGCAAACGGGCTCGCGAGCGGCAAATGAAAATGATGCAGGAATTTGCGAACAAACAAAAAGAATTCATGCAAACGGCAGCTGCCTCCAATTTGGATGCTGGCATGGAGGAGGAGGAAGAACTCTATGAAGAACAACCCCGCGAAAAGGAATACGATTGCATCATTTGCAATTGTACCACACCCAGCACCGAATCGAATCCCATCGGCCTGGTTGTCCTTGTCGAATCGAGTGGCATTGTTGGACATCGTCGCCGCACTAGTGAACGACTACCCCTACCATTGAGTCCCGAAGATGAAGAGAGACTGAAACATAGCAGCCGTCTGGCAACGGAATTTAATCGTCGTACCGAACTGCTTAGTTTGAAATTCGGTGAGGAGTCATGGTATCTTTCAAATAATATGGCCTATGAGAATGGTGTACATGTCCAATCGTGCGGTCATCATGTTCATCTTAGCTGTTTGGATGCTTACTTGAAGACCCTATATGCCAGCCAAAGACAACATCAACATGAGAGGGGTGAATTTTATTGTCCCGTGTGTAGGCAACTATCGAATTCGGTATTGCCGTTGAGTCCACAGCTGGATCGTCCAACGCCAGTTGTACGTTCGGGTCAGCAACCATTCGAGCAGTTGGTAGCCGAATTAACGAATCTTATTAAGGAGAATGAAAAACCACCGGTAAGTAAGAAATGTTTTTTGTTTGTTTTTTTTTTTCGCAAGATTTTGAATTGGTTTTATATGGAGACCTAACTATTCAGGAAGTTATTCGGCTATTGAATAGGTTGTGTATTAATTCTATATATAAATGAATTTATTAAGCTCTTCTATACATGGAATACCTCATTATTCAGCTCTTCTATAAATAGAATACTTTTTTAATCCGCTCTTCGGAATATGGATGTCCTTAATATGTACCTCTGCTGAATATAGAAGACCTTATTTAATTTTTCTATACATAGAAATCATTTTCTATACATAGAAATCATTATTCAGCACTTCTCTAGATGGCAGACCTTCTTTAGATCTTCACTATATAAAAGACCTTATTCAGCTCTTCTGTATATAGAAGATTTTATTAGGTACTTCTATATATATATATATATAGAATATCTTATTCAGCTGTGCTATATATATAACGTTATTCAGCCCATATGTATATCACATTCACCTCTATTATACATATATATATCTTATCTTATCTTATTCAGCTCTTCTGTAGATAGAATACATTTGGAGAGCTCTTCGTAATATAGAAGATCTTACTCAGCTCTTCTGTATTAGGCACTTCTATATATAGAAGATCTTATTCAGCTGTCCTATATATAACGTTATTCAGCTCATGTATATAGAAAATCACATTCAGCTCTATTATATAGAGAAGACCTTATTCAGATAGAATACATTTTTCAGAGCTTCTCTATATTGGAGAGGTCTTCATAATATATAAGACCTTATTCAGCACTTCTATATATATATATATATATATATATGGAATACCTCATTCAGCTCTAATATATATAATACCTTATTCAGCTCTGTTCCATAAATAGAAGAACTATTCGACACTTCTATATACAGAAGATCTTTGTCAACTGTTCCATATATAGAATACCTTATTCAGCTCTTGTGTATATAGAAGATCACATTCAACTCTTTTATATATAAAATACCTTATTCAGCTCTTCTGTACATAAAACATATTATTCAGAGCTTGCTATATTGGAGATATTATTCAGTTTTTCTGGATCTCCTTATTAAGTCTTCATTCTGCTTAATTAAATTGTAAGTCCCTGTAGTTTCCCATCCACCCAATATTCACGTATTGTCTCCTTTTCTTTTCAGATCTCAACAAAACTATCCGAAGCCATGGGTCGTGCAATGGAAGATATGACAAATATAACGCATCGTAAAATGAAACGTGTACCGCCAACGTTCCGTAGCCTTTTTATATTCGTTACCTCAATAGCTCGAACCAATTTAGAATCGGAAATTATACAACGTGGCGGAACTCTGTGTTCCACAAATCCAACCCGGTATAAAGCAAAACGTGACTGTATTGTACCCCTGCTGCACGTGCTATCTGTTCATGTACGGGTACTAGTCGAATGGCCACTATGGAGTTCATGGGCCTCACTGGCCGGTATGCCGGTTACGGATATTGCATCGGTGCCTTCACATTGTCGTGAAGTAATACCAGCAATTTTGGCCGATCCCATTGCATTGCTATTGAAATATATACTCTTGGCTCCATTACATTTAGATCAGGGTAAGTGGGGTATTATTTTTCTGCTCCTTTTTGTTATAGATATTTATTTATTATTTTATTGTTCTTCTCTTCTTCTTTTTCCTTCAGAATATTTCACCTGTATGGTAAAGGTTATGTACAATTTATTGTACTATCAAATTGTTGTGCAGCTTTGTGTTACCCTGACTGATCTCGAATGTGATTATATTTTGGCCAATTTTGATGCTTCCCCCTCGGCTGAGTCACAATCCGCTGCTTCCAATCGACGCAATTCGATGCGTTCATCACCCCATGAATATTTGGGTCGCGCCATGGCCTTAGTTTTGAAAAACACCAATCGAATGTCTCATTTAAGGCGTGACAGTATACCTTCCACATCGGCGGCGGCAGCTGCTTCTGCTATGAATGCCGCCACGACAGCTGCTGGAACAAGCACTAGTTCTAGTGGCAGTAGTACTGCTGCTGCTACTGGTACACCACTACTAGCTGGCGTTGAAGTTAATCTCAAATCAATGGAAAATAAATTGCAAACTCTATGCTTACCATTCTTACGGATTGCCGCTTTGTTGCGTCAACATTTGTATCGACATGAAATGCCAGAAATTTCAGCACCCGGCTTGGAATTTGTTCGTTTAGTTTATTATTTGGAATTGGTAACGGACTCCATGGATTGGGATTGTTTTAATGCCTCAAAGGGTTTGTGCTTTATACCCGGAGGATCGGAGGATACACTGCCCAAATTCTGGTGTAAACAATTAATGAATATTCGACCACCAACGGACACGGTTCGCGAATTGGTTATACTCAATCAACATGCCTCGTGGCATCAACCAAAACTATTGCAATTACCAAGAGAATATGAGCGTTTGTTCACGGTACGGTTTTACGGGATACGGAAATTTCAAAAGTTCTATTTTTTAATTCGTTTTATCTGTTTGTTTTTTTTTTCTTCCTCTTTGTCTTTTATAGTACTACCATGAACGACCATGCCTGAATTGTTATAAAGTACCTAAGGAAAGCTCTATTTGTTTGCTGTGTGGTACCATTGTGTGTCTAAAACAAAACTGTTGTGCCGAAAATGAATGCTGTGAAGCGGTCAGGGTAAGTTTGTAAAAAAACATCAAGGTTACGAGAATATAAAAGCTACAATCTCGCACTAAATTTTACTTTTTCTAAAATTTGACGGAGACTATTTCTGTTTTTGGTATCATTGTTCTAAAACGACTTCTAGCAAAAAAATGGTATAAATTCAAAAAAGGTCCGTTTTAACCCTAGAATGATTTTCCAAATTTTTAGGATTTTTGACGTTAGGCTTATTTCTGTAGAATATTCTGACCTCCTCTACTCATGTTTTAAATGAGTTTTCAATCAATTCTGGAACAAGAAACAAGTGAAGATAGTTCAAAGGTTGGACGGTGCCGACTTCACCACTTTGGGTATATACAATAAATATTAATATCTACAATATTCTATAGATAGAACAAACATAGAATCTTTGGAGGACCATTGAGATGGAATCGGGCGAAATTAAATGTGCTATCTAGATAGATATTTGAACCAATTGAAAAAACCCCATACACATACCATACTTGGATTCTTTGGGGTGCCATTTGTATGAAATCGAGTATAATTATGTATAGGAGCTATATATAAACACATGGACCTAATAGAGTAACTGTTGCATACGCCATTTGTTTTTGTTATCACTCTATATTCAATTTAACACCATCGGCCAAATTTCGTGTAATTCGAACAGATTTTGGCTTTTCGGTGCACCAATTACATAAAATCGAAGAAAAAAAATATATATATATATAAGACCTATACCATAATCTGAACCGATTTCAACAAACCTTATCACACATCATTTTTTCCTCAATTGCATTCGCTTTGCAAAATTTTGCTCAATCGGACAAATATTGGGAGTTTGGTGTATTATTCACAAAAAATCGGATGAAACTATATATGGGAGCTATATCTAAATCTGAACCAATTTTAACGAAACTTCGCAGACATCAGTCTGGACCTAATTCAGTACTCTGTGCAGAATTTTGTCCCAATCGGACAAATATTGGGACTTTGGTATATTATTCACGAAAAATTGGACGAAACTATATATGGAAGCTATATATAAATATGAACCGATTTTAACAAAACTTCGCAGACATCAGTCTGGACCTAATTCAGTACTCTGTGCAGAAATGTGTCCCAATCGCATATATAAATATGGACCTGATTCAGTGCGCTGTGCAAAATTTTTTCCCAATCGGGCAAATATTGGGAGTTTGGTGCATCATTCACATAAATTCGGACGAAACTATATATGGGAGCTATATCTAAATCTGAACCGATTTTCTCCAATTTCAATAGGGTTCTTCCATGGGCCAAATAAGTGAACTGTGCCAACTTTCATTCAAATCGGATCATAAATGCGACCTGTACTTTGCTCACAAAAAGTTATTCTGTACATATTCTCAAAAGGAACCATGGGTCTATATCGATTCCTTTTGCCTGTTACAAACATATGCACAAGACATAATACCCTGTACCACAGTGTGGTGAAGGGTATTAAAAGTGTCAGTCGGTGTTGCCGACAAGTTTATAAAATATTGACCCTTTTTAGGGAAGACCTTAATCTAGGCTTTGTAAGATAATAGAATCGACTAATATTGGATTTACAAATATTGGAAATTTTGACCCTTTGTGGGGGAGTAGGCGAATCGAACATTCCATTCGTCTGAAATTGAATTTAAAATTAATAATGAAAATTTTTGTGGGGAAGGTACCAGAAACATTGGACCAATGGGTCCCATCTTTCTACTTCGGACTCGATCTAGGCTTGGTAAAGATAATAGGTTGTGCAAAGTTTGGTTCAGATGCGATAGTCCTTTCGCATAATATAAAATTAATTTTTTGCACAATTTTTATCATTTTTTGAAGTTTGGATGAAATCGATTATTCCCTTCGAGAGTTATTGTGCGCAGTTATTGTAAATCGACTACAAATTTGCTAAAACGGATTTGGTCCATAGAAATATTGAGTTTAAAACCCATATTTCGATGAATCACATTTTCACAGTAATAATAAAATTTATATATCCTCATTAGCCATAAGGCTGAGGGTAAAAAAACGTATCGAAAATACCTCTTCACCGAGATGATAGTGAGTTAACAAATCCTAATCCGAATATTTTCAAATCACTTGAAAAGGAAGGATATTTTTTTATTCCAGTAAATCTTCAATTGTTTAAGATATGAAACATCCTCCATTGTCTTTCTTCAATGAGCCTCTATCTAGAGATGGTAATGCGATTTTCAATTCCGCTTTAATATTTACTATTTTTGTTTTTACACAATGGACTAAAGCTACAGTCATTGGTCGGCTACGAATCAGGTCGTTTCAGATCCTTAACCACATTGTCGTGGAAACAAGCTCTGTAGTTAATATTAGCAGCAAGTTGTAGATATCCCTGTCCTTTTTTACCGATTTGAATGAAGTGAACGAATGTTCAGGAGGATAACACATTTTGTCTGGACTATCTTCGATGAAAACGCTATCCTTGTTAAATTTTAATCCTTATTTCTTTCTTTTTTTAATTTCAGCATACCATAACATGCGGCGGTGGCATTGGTATATTCCTGGTTGTAACATCAACATACATAATTGTGATAAGAGGTCGTCGTGCATGTCTATGGGGTTCGCTCTATTTGGATGATTTTGATGAAGAAGATCGAGATTTAAAGTAAGTAATATTACCTGTCTTCGCACTCCACAACCTCCACAACATATTTATTTACTTTTCTCTTTTTTAGACGTGGCAAACCGCTGTACTTGAGTCAGGATCGTTTCAATTTATTAGAGTCTCAATGGTTATCGCATAAATTTGCCCATACCAAACATACATGGGTATTCCATAGAGATTTGTTGTGAAATATGCAAGAATTACTACGCAATATTCAAGACATGATAATAGACCTATGAGGAGAGGTGTGAAGTTCAGTTAAAAAAAATCATATATATAGAAACTATACATACACAACACTTATAAAATAATATAAATATTTTTTTGGTTTACTTTCGTTTCGAATCTCAATGGCTAAGAAAAAAGGCCATTAAAATCTTTAAGGCTTTGTTTAAAAACAAAAACAATACATTAAAATAATTTCTCTATTTTCAAGCATAAGAAAATCTAAACTAAAAGAAACGAACAAACAATATTCGATATAAAAAAAACTCTACAAAAAACAATGTACGTAATATATTGGTTTTAAAGCCACCAACCAACACCAATACAATAATATTCATATATACCTACTAATAATGAAAGCAAATTAAATATAATGGAAAATAATTTGTTAAATTATTAATTATATATATATTTCTTATAAATAATTTCAATATTTTTCTCTCGCGCTCTCATTTTTTCCTCCATTTTTGCTTTAATGAAAGAAAAAACTAAATTAATTTAATAATTAGACTTTTTAATATAATTAAAAAAATATATAAAAAAACAAAATACACTTTGTGTAAGTAATAATTTAATTATTATATACCAACAAATATCGTAATAGTTTTTTTTTAATATTAAAGAAATTAATCAATTCACAACTACAAAAAAATGAACAAATTTCATTAAAATGAAATTAAAAAAAAAAAACAACAACAAAAACAATCTTAACCACAAAACTTTATATATTTTTATTTGAATTTGAAGAATCATAGAAAAGAACATATTTTTTCAAAATATATACATACACATAATAATTTTTAAATTAGTTTAATTTTTTTTATAAATTTCTTTGTAACACTAATAAATAATATATAGTTGGCCTATAACTAATAAAAGAAATGTTAAATAAGAATTTAATTAATATGTCTTATTAAATTTGAATAAATATATATAAATAAAAAAATTAAAAAATTAACTTTTCTTTTTAAAATTTACAAAATTTACGAGGGAACAATGTTTATCAATTTTTTTCGGAAATAATAAAGAATATGTCCTGATGAATGATCAATGCTTTTTCAAAATACTCGATTATTTTGTATCTTCCCCAGAATTCCAAATAAAATAGTTCTCACAAAGCAAGTTATAAATTTTACCCATAGATTTTTACAGCATTCTTTGTAATCGGTTCCCGTACTCAAACACTTGTACAACTTTTCACATTTATAACAAAATAATCGGAACACATCTTCAATTCTTGCAGGTTCTGGTACACAGTATGTGTTCCAAGGTATTAATTATTTTGTCTAAAATTTGTATTAAATAAAATAATATTCAATAAAAAAATAAATATTCAATAAAAAAAATATATCATGACGAAAGAAAAGAATTAAATAAACTTATGAAAATTAAAAAATAATAATAATAAATGCCGCATATGCATGTAGCTATAGTTTTATTAGTTATTATATGAAATAACTTAGCTAAATAAATAAATACCTAATTAATAAATAAAAAAACACATAAATAAATATGACACACATGTATTTTTATTAAGCCTTTGTTTTAGAAATAATTCAAGAAAGGGCATAACATTTGTTTTTAATGTTTCAAAATTTGTCCAGGCTCTTCTAATTGTCATTTGACATGTTCCCATACTGCAAGAATATCGAAAAATAGTAAAAATTAGGATATTCTTGCAGTACGGGAACAGACCAAATATTGTCTTATAGATCCCTTTTTGCATATATCAGCTGTTTCACACTCTTCCATGCCTCTTTCTAAATAATTATCACAGCTATGCATCGCCCCAATTCGTAAACATTGCCTGCCATTGCCAATTTTCTTTCAACCTCAGTCAATCTCTGCGGTCTTTCCCCTTTTGGTAATATTTGGAACGTTTTTTAATAAGGTTGGCTTAAATGCTCGCCAGTCATTCTCTGCAGTCGTTCCCCTTTAGGTATCATTTGGAACGTTTTTATATATGGTTGTATTAAATGCTCGCCACCTCAATGCTCAATTGATAGCTGGTGAAATTCTTTCGAAATGGACAAATGGCTACGAGATCGTCTATCCAATTGTCTGGACTTTGAAGTACCAGATGATATGATCAAATATATTCTCTCTATGAAAAATTCCAATGAATTTGATGAATATTTTGAGTCTTTGCTGAACAATGATTGTGAAGACCATCGTCTGTTTCTGACAGATTGCAAGCAGCGTTTGTTTAGCAAAGCTTTGGCCAATAAGAAGCAGCAGAATCAACAACAGGCCCAACAACCAAAGAAATCCCAAAGTCATGGGTCATCAGAAATTAAGCAGAACAAGGGTGGTTCACCCACCAATAGTAAAAATGACGGAGGTGGTCACGGCCAACAGCCGCAAGGAGCTAAGAAGAAAACCAAATATGTTAGCCTTTACACGAATGACGGTAAGGTTATTGGCGATACCATTATGTTGAAAGGCCGCCGTCTGTGTAATTGCCAAGCCACCCAGCATAAGTTGGTGAACAATTGCCTCACCTGTGGACGCATTGTGTGCGAACAAGAAGGCAGTGGTCCGTGTCTGTTTTGTGGTGAAATTGTTTGCACAAATGAAGAACAACAAATCCTCAAATCTGCCGGCAAGAAAGGAGAGAATCTTATGAAATCCCTCAAGGAGAAGGGTGGTGGCGAGTCACTGAAAAAGGCTTTGGAGCAACGTGACCGTCTTTTGGAATATGATCGCAACAGTGAAAAACGTACAACAGTCATTGATGATGAATTGGATTATTTTGAGGAGAACTCCGTGTGGCTGTCGGATGAACAACGTAAAAAGTTCGAGGAGCTGAAGCAAGAGATGCACGATCGAAAACACGCCAGTCGTATTAATCGAAAGATTAAAATTGATTTTGCTGGTCGTGCCGTGGACGATGATGTTACCATAACGGCCGATTATGAGAAGTCAGTGCTAAAAGAAGTGGCTGCGGTCAATGCCAAAACTGGCAACACCAACAATTGGTCCAATCGTAAACACTCACAAAATTACAAGGATGAAGGTGGTGACGTTGATCCAAATATTGATGGCCTGCGTCCCATGTATCGTCCATCGGCCGAGGAAAAGGCACGTAACAAAGGACAAGTTGTAAATGATGGTTTAGAGCGTATTTACAATCGTGTCCAGGACAAAGAGTTACTTGAAATGCAAGATATGCGTCAATGTTTATCCATGCATCAGCCCTGGGCCTCATTACTTGTGGCCGGAATTAAGAAGTAAGTAATATTTATTGCTTCCAAAATTAGTAATCAATTTGTAAACACATATTCACAGACACGAGGGTCGTGTTTGGTATAGCGAACATCGTGGCCGTTTGTGGATTGCCTCAACGGCCAAAGAACCCAGACCAGAAGAGATCAAGGAACTAGAAAACTTTTACAGAGTTTTCTATAATGGTAAGAATAATTCAAAGAACAATAGTATATCCTTGAAATAAATTAAAAATAATTCCCTGGTTCCAGATCCCAATATAAAATTCCCTGAACATTATCCAACCGGTTGCTTGTTGGGTTGTGTTAAAGTTGATGAATGCCTGCCACAGGAAGAATACCAGGAATTATATCCCGGTGGTGAATCCGATTCTCCATATGTCTTCATTTGTTCTAATCCCGAACAATTGCCAGTGGTTTTCCCGATTAAAGGTCAACACAAAATTTGTATGTATTGCTATTATACAACTTTTGTTGTAGGAAAAGATTTGGAAACGATATTTAAACTTGTTTATTTTTTTCAGATCAAATTGACCCCAAAATACATAATGCTGCCTGCAAGACACTGTTGCGTATGAAAGCCACTAAGGGCTAGAAAGTGAAATTTTAGTCAAACTGAACATTTCCATTGGATGATTTATAAAGTAGTAATAAAACATAAATTATTTAGTTGAAAAATACATAATTTATTTAAAAAATAAATAATTTATTCTGAACTTTATCGTGATATCAAGACATATATTTATCTGATTGAAATGTAGGGCTTTATGTCAAGTTTAATGTTCTATTTCGGATTATTTGCAATTTTTAATTCTAGCATTTCAACCATCCTCCAAGGCGTGGATTTATTAGATAATAATTTTTCAACCATCATCCAAGGCGTGGATTTACTAGAGAAGAATTTTTCAACCCTCATCCAAGAGGTGGATTTATTAAAGAATAATTTTTCAACCAGGGGACTTTAAACTCTCTCCTATGAACAATTGCTTTTACCGCGAACGGATTTTTTTTAATTTCAAAATTTCTCCAATGGATTTTATACAAAATTTTTTGGATACAGAAATTTCATTTTGTAATAGGCTAAATCTCTGGAATTTGGACTTTTAATTAAATTATGTCTGCTAATCTTCAGGTTCAGTCTTAATTTAATTGGCCCCTAATCGGACAGTGGGACTTCTCCTATAGACGGGTGAAAAATTGGACTGAACGAACAGAAAATTTTCGGAATGTCAAAGATCATATGTCAAAAATATGGACTTCCACTCTAATAAAAATTATATATTTACGTGATCAGGTAGACTAAACATAACCACAAATTCCCGAGAATATAAAGTTCTCAAAAAATAAATTGACGTCGTTGTAATCCGCATCGGAAAGGTTATTTTCTGTAAAAAATTATGTACAAATTGTTACTGGATGTTGTTCGTTTACGCAAAAGAGAATGCGAATTAAGAGAAAAAATTTGACTTGGTATTTGCAAACAGATCAATTGTCAGTAACAATAGTTTTGACTGAAGACAGGAACATTTTCTCTGTCCAGAACTGAAAGAATCTACTAATTTTTACAATTTTTTTCAATGTAACAATTAAACACCGTGCTTTTGTAAAAGTACATTACATTAATGCGGAATTGACTGTCCCCTTTGTAGAAAATCGATAATCGGATTAAAAAAATCGATTATTTTCCCACCAAAGATAAACATTCTCCACATTCCGGTTGTTGTTAACTGCTCGCTCCTGAATTTTAATAGAAAAACAATTTTTGAAATTGTTGAATTCCAGTTGATTGCAGCACATCTACTCTAAAACTCCTCTAGTTTAAATTACACGCAAAATATTTCAAATTCGAATTGCAATAAAATGGTACAACAATGGGAACTGACGGAGGCGGAAATTATTGAAATTGCAAAGGAATTCAAAAGAGTTAAGGGTAAGATTTGTGAGGGAGGGGTGTTAGCACGATCGAATGTAATTATTGATAATGATGATGATTATTATTAATTATTATTGATGCATTTTTACAATGACTTTCATTTCACAATAGATAACACATACTTAGATCATGCTGGTACCACTCTATACAGTGAGCGTCAAGTGGATGCGGCGTGTAAAATTCTTAAGGAGAATCTGTTTTGTAATCCACATACATGTAAGATAACAGGTGATATGGTGGATCAAGTTCGTTATCGGTAATTGCTATGATTAGGTGGTGGCAAAACAAAATAATTAAAAAAAATCCATTGCTTCCATTTGCAGAATTTTACATCATTTCAATGCCGAACCCAGTGAATACAGCTGTGTTTTCACAGCAAATGCAACGGCGGCCCTTAAATTAGTCGCTGAAACATTTAATTTTACTTCCGAAGATGGGAAAACTACGGGAAATTTTTATTACTGCCAGGAAAATCATACCTCAGTGTTGGGCATGCGGGAATTGGTGAAAACACCTAGTCAGTTTGTTTTGACCAAAGATGAATTATTACTGAATCTAAAGGGGAATAATGACAATTTTGCTGTTGCATCATCTATGGATCATGATGGCAAATCGTTGGTAGTCTTTTCGGCCCAGTGTAATTTCAGTGGTTATAAAATGCCTTTGGAATTGATACCAATTATTCAACAAAATGGTTTAGTTCGTGAAGGTTTGCAGGTGTCTGGCCCTAAAGCAATGGAAAAAAGAATTTCAGGAAACTTTTATGTGTGTTTGGATGCTGCTTCATATGTGGGCACCAGTTATTTGGATTGTTCTGAAATAAAACCGGATTTCATTTGTGTTTCGTTTTACAAAATGTTCGGGTAGGTTTGTACAGAATTCTTTCCATCGGTGATTGTTTTTAATTGCTGTTTATTTTTGCAGTTATCCCACCGGTGTTGGAGCTCTCATAGTAAGCAAACGTGGCCAAGAAGCATTGGAAAAACGTTATTATGGTGGTGGCACGGTTAACATAGCAATGACCCGTGAAAATTTTCATGAAAAACGTTCCGCATTTGTATCCCGCTTTGAAGATGGCACATTGCCATTTTTATCAATCGTTTCTATACTAGAGGGCTTTAAAACAATCGAACGCCTAATACCACCCAAAGATGGAAAATCTAGCATCGAACGTATTAGCTGTTATGTCTTCGAGCTGGCTCAGTATGCACATAAAAAACTATCTGCCCTCAAACACGGCAATGGTGAACCATTATTAAAGTTTTACAATCACAATGGCTATACGGACAGAAAGTACCAAGGAGGCATTTTATCATTTAACATAATGCGTAAGGATGGTTCATATATTGGCTTTGCTGAAGTTGCATGCTTGGCGGCGGTGCACAATATTCAAGTGCGAACTGGCTGTTTTTGTAACCCCGGTGCCTGTCAATGGTTTTTACAACTGAGCAATGATGATATCCGCAAACAATATGAGTCGGGTCACATATGTAGTGATTACAATGATCTGGTGGATGGCGTTCCCACGGGTGCTGTACGTATTTCCATTGGTTATATGACACGCAAGGAAGATCTTGACCAAGTTATAAAGATGATAGAAAAATGTTATTTAAGCACAGAAGGCGCTGAAGAACGTTTGGCTTTCATTGATAGAAATAAATTACCCGAGGCCCTACAACACGTTCCCGAAAGATTAAAACCTCAACTAAAAAAGGTATGTATCTACCCTATAAAATCATGTGGTGCTTTTAGAATTCAAGAATCATGGCCATTGCAATCTACTGGTTTATCATATGATCGTTGCTGGATGATAGTGGATTCCACGGGTATGGCCATAACACAAAAACATCATTCCAGATTATGTCTTATAAGACCAGTATTACTTTTACACAAAGGCCTATTGGAAATTAATTTCCCTGATATGCCGTCGGTTTATGTTCCCATTGAAATGGAGGAAACCAACAAGAATAGCATTGTGAACTCCACTCTATGTCAGAGTAAAGTTTGCAATGACTTGGTTACAGGTTACGATTGTGGCGATGATGTGGCCCATTGGCTAGAAGATTGTCTGGAAACACCGGGATTACGTCTAGTAAAACAACACAAACAACGGAAGTCACAAGAAGGAGGCACAAAAGATATATCCCTAGCAAATCAGGCACAATTTTTACTTATCAATCGTGCCTCCGTTCAATGGTTGTCCCAAAAGGTAACAACCGAAAAAGAACCCTTACAAAATACCATCGATCGCTTTAGAGCTAATATTATCATAGAGACCAGCGGTGCCTTTGAGGAAAATGATATAGAAACTTTAACCATTGGTGATGTTACATTTAATGTTGAAGGATTTTGTACACGTTGTCAAATGATATGCATTGATCAGCATACGGGACAAAAGACAGCAGAACCTTTGCGCACAATCGCTCGTGAATTTGAGGGTAAAATACGTTTTGGTATTTACCTATCGTTAAGTGATATTCCCAAAGAGGGATCATATTTAGCATTAGACAAAGAACTCATTATAAAGAAAAAAATAAAACAATAAATTAGTCAAAACAATATATTTTATTATTTCCCCCCATAAAGCTTCGTTGATTTAGTTCTAAAAATATTACAAAGTTGTCGATTTTTATTAGTGTGGAGTTTACTCTTACATTATTGTGCAATTTTCTATGGGCTGTTCTTTTGTCTTGACCATTGGCTGGCCCTGTTCAGCACGATTAATATTTTCTAGGACACTTTGGTGATCGGGAAAGGCTAACGATTGTAATTTTGAATGTACCAGTTCGTCATTAATTTTCACCTCGAACGAACCCTGACGTCCTTTATGGCAAACCATTTCCGTATCCGGCTTTTGTTGTAGCAAGAAGTTCTGCAACATCTTGCATTGAAATTCGAAATTACATTTTCCGCTAAAAAACAAGTAGTAGGGGTTCATTAGTAGTGGTTGATAAACTTCGAAAATATATTCGAGGTCTTACCAATACTCAACATCCACTTTTACCATGGTGGGTGAAATGAATTTTGAAGGAAACTGTTTTGTTGTTTATGCAAGAGGAAAGGAACTACAATAGAGTTGTGTTGTTCTCGAACGAACTAGTTCAAATGAACTATTCACTGAAATGAGTGTATGGGAACTAGACACATGGGCTTTTTCTACTTGTTGCGCCTAATTCATGTGGATTTTTTAACTTATATGCTACTTGAAATCGAGTAGATTTTGTTAATCTAAATATAATTTTTATAGGCCTTGTATTGCGTACCTAAAAACAACAAAGCTGTCAATTGTCAAAAGCAAGCAAATGAGAAACACTGTAACATTATCATCATCATGTGTAACAACGGCCTCAACAATAAACAATGAGAACTAGTTTTAACGTCCATTTCTCCAAATTTCTCAGCTGATAGACATTCATACATGTCTCTTTCTAAATATGACAGGTAGCACGGTGTTATGCTTCACACTCATTCGTAAACATTTTGTTTGGGTTTTTATCAGCTTTTCTTTGCTCTCTTCCTCCATTCGCAGCAAGCGGAACGTTTTTAATTAACGTTGGTTAGTTTGGTTGGTCTCCAAAACTCGTCATTATTTAGAAAATAAAATACCAAATTAGAAAAAAAACATGTCCCGGTGTATAATCATAGATCGTCGAAATGCTATTATGCTGGTATGGATATTTGTGCTCAGCGGTATACGACAAAGTCATACGGATGACAAAAGCAGCACTACAGGCTTAGTAAATAACAACAGCAACAACAATGAAATGGCTCCCTACGTTATACGAAATTTCAATGAGACAAATCAACAATTGGCCCAGTGTCAGAACAAAGCTCATCTCAATTGCAGCGAACTTCTGCATCCCTGTATCAGATGTCTATATAATTACACATGCCATTATGGTCAGGAACTACTTGTCAACTGTACAGTGCTGCATCAGGTGGAATGTCAAGGTAGTCGATGGTTTTGGCACCAAATGAATTGTCGTTATTGCTACCAAACGGAAAAATGGCAACAGAGTTGTGATCTGAAGAGTAATTGCAATTCGGTAAATGGTCAATTCTACAAAACCAATTGCACGGTGCATAGTGATGTCTTTTGTCTGGGAAATCGTTCGTTTACACGAAACGTAAAATGTAATTGGACGCAAGGTTATCGTTGGAGTACGGCGGTAATAATTAGCCTGACATTAGGTGGCTTTGGTGCAGATCGATTTTATTTGGGCCACTGGCAGGAGGGTATTGGTAAGCTCTTTAGCTTTGGTGGCCTTGGTGTGTGGACGATAATAGATGTAGTATTAATATCACTGCACTACTTAGGCCCGGCTGATGGTTCATTGTACATTTAAATACATAATAATAGTAATAATTGTAATTAGCTGATAAGTAAAACTGTTAATAATAAAACCCGAATTTTATCTTTAAAGACTTCCATTAAAAATATTTTTGTTTTATTTCCATTATATTCGTGTACAATAATACATTCCAATGTATTTCAGTTATCATCGTCATCCCCGAAACGTATATGCTTAGTTATCAATTTCTTGACCTTCTCTCTTCCCCGCTTTTGTGGTACCTTTACTTGTTTGTTAAGCTTTTGTTCTCGATCCTTTTCAATTTTCTGCCAATAAGCTGATTCGGATTCGCCAGATAGAATTTTACACTGATATTCAGCACAGCTGATTTTCTGTACAAACTCTTTGGCCAATTGGGCGGATTCTAATCTGAGGTAGGCTTGCATGGCACCCTCTTTAATGTCAACATATTTCACCGAGGGATATTGACGCATATCAGCTTTGTACTCCTTGACATTAACACATGGTTCCAGAAAAGACATTTCTACAATGAGACCCGGTTCATAACTAAAGAGTGGTTGACGTTCCAGAGCAGGATTATGTTGTGTTTTATCTGTTGCTAGAATTTTATTTGGTGGTTCTTCTTCTGCTGCCGCACCATAGAAATTCATGTTCATTTTTTGCAATTTATGTTTGGAATCCTTGGATTTTTTCTTTTGGGGTTTATTCGGTGATTGTGAATTGTTTTCATCCTTAACGTTATCTTTGTTTTGTTGTTTGAATTCCTGTTGCTCTCGCCATGCTTTTCTTTTTAATTCGGCCACCTTTTCTCTCTGTAGATTTAGATATTTATTGCGTAAACGTTTCCAATCTTTTTTGGGTAGAATTTTCAATTCATAATAGGAAACATCGGTATTCAGTTCCGCCTTTCGTTTTAGTTTCTCTTCAGATTTCGATTTCCTTTTGCGTTTTCGACGTTTCTTCTTCTGTTTTGATTCTTCATCTGGGTTTTCATTTTCTCCCTCATCCTTTGTATTATTTTCATCTTTTGTTTCTGACTCTGAGAGTGATGTGGTACCTTCAGTTTCCGTACCCTGGTCCTCATCTTGTGACTCAGTTTTTACCTTTTTTGCTTTAGGCTCAGCATCATCGTCTTCGGTTTTTATTCTTTTCCTGTTTTCCTCTTTTGTTTGCTCATCGTCTAACTCTTCGCCAGCCTTCTCTTTGAGATATGACTTAACGCTCACCAATTCAGATGGGTCCTTGTCATCCATTTGTAAGACACCATTAAATTCCTTAAATGCCTGTATTGCTTTCTTGAGACTATCTTCCTTTTCGAATTCAACAAAACCAAATTCTTTAATTCTATGCGATTTGGCATATTTTGGAAGAGATATGTACTCGACTTTACCAAACCTTTCAAAGATTTGACGCACCCACTCATGATCGGCTGTGGAAGGCAAAGCTTCGACGTACAAGGTTTTATCATCGACATTTCGATTTTCCACTAAAGGAGTTTTACGTCTAACCTTTTGTTGGCTTTCATCTAGTTCCAGTAATTGGGAATTGCTTAGCGACTTTGCAATGTCTTCAACTCGGCTTGTTAAGGCTTTCATTTTGTTAAATGTAAGAAATGTTTCCAATGGAACAACTGAAAAAATAAAGTGAATAAATGAATATGGAAAATATTACATACAATATACTGACATGGATCCTTCTCGATCAGTTGCCTAAGAAAACGATCCTTGCTGAGATTGGCATCACCAAAGTAAAATTCCATCTGAGCCCTAATGGCATTGAAGTAGTGTTTCTTGCGTTTACGATAGCTTTTGTTGTTTCCAGATTCCGCATGTTCAACGTTTTCCTTGACAGCTACAATCGTATCGGGTTCCAAATTTTCTGTGGATTCCGCGACATTATTGGCATTGGTGCTGTGTTTTTTCCTTTTTCTACTAAGTTTTCTCTTTTCCGGTTCTGCCACCGACTTCTCCTCGTCCTCATCATCTGTTGAGACAGTGGCATTTGTATCAATTGCTGTACTCAATTGTTCCTTTGAGGAATCTACAAGGGAGTTATTTTCTCCTTCTTTCGATTTTCTGCTTTTCTTACTTTTTGTACCCATTAAAATTTTAACAAATTTATAAAAATTATTAAAAAATGTGTTTGTTTACCGGACTTTTATAAAAAGTCGAAGTTCAATTGAATTATTCACTAAATGAACTACCGCTATGAAAATAAACTCTGTTGTCTTTCAAATTAACATTTAACGCCGTCAACTCTTTCAACAGAGGCTTCTGTTAAGAATTGCGTTTGTTAATTTTGGCGCGCATTTTAGTGTATCTATATAAAGCGGCAAAATAACGAAAGTTTAAGCAGCAATCGAAAAATAAATATTATATTTAAATAAAATATAAAATTAATAATATAAAATCTAATATCTTTCTTTTGTTTTGCTTCTGCATTCCTCTGGTTACCAAGGAAAAACCTGATTGATATAGTAAAACGCCGTCATCGCACTCCGTTTATTGTGTTTATTTAACCAGTCCTAAACATGACAGCTGCTGTCACTGTTTGAAAAGGTGAGAAAAGAGAAGAAGCAGCAGCGAATAAAGAAAATAGACGCTAGCAGAAAGGACGCCGATAGTTTGCAAAATTGTTTTAGTTGCAGAGAAGAAACATAATTTGTTTTTTATTTTATTTTGCTGCAAATAAACAAAATAAGTGAAATGTGAAAGAACTTTTGGAAGATTATGTTGGATCATTGAGCAAGTGTACGTAAATGAAAACAAAATAAAGTTGCTAATTCTTGGCTTTCCTTGTGGAAAAAATACAAAACTAAACTTGAACGATTCAGGTAGCAAGACTTGTCGGAAGCCATCTGTGTGCATATTATCCCAGCTTTAAGATTGCTTCCAATTAATTATACGTTTTTTGTAGACCATTGGTACAGACAGATGTACGAACATGTTCTTACTTCTGAGTTAAATGTTAGGCACGCGTCACTTATGTTGCCTCCCTTTTTCAGAGAATAACATTCGGAGCCAGGTGTACTTGCGTTCTTATCAGTTCTTTGTGAAAATTGTAGTCATTTTTAAATAATTTGTAAATACTAATTGTTGTTTTACTTCACAGGACCCAATGGAAAATTCGTATTGATTGAGAGGATACACAAAATTTCTTTCACAAATTTTGACATTTATTGGAATCCTAAGAAAGGCAACATGGAAACTGTGGTTTTAAGTAGTGACATTGCACGTCTTGTTTTGGGTAAGTTCGCCGGATATACACGTAATTCAACAAGCATTTTCTAATGACCGTCCACTTTTTTTATAGATTATTTAAAATCACAAAATCTGAAAAGAGCAACACACACATTTTGCAAAACATCACCATATTTGAAACAAGAATTTTCGGCGTTTAAACATGGTCTACAGACACATTCATTTTTTCCCGAATTAGAGGAAATAATATGCGAATATGTTAAAATATCAAGAAAAGTTGATCTAGAACTACCCAAATTAAGCAATGATGTTCGCTTTGAATTCCAACGATTAAAGCTATCGGAAAAAGTTGCCGTCCTATTAGAGCGAACCGCTGACAATCACCAGGAAATTGCTTCAGTCAAAAATGCTTCATCTAATTTACAAACATCGGCTGGTTCGGGGAAACAAACCAGCAATAGTATTAATTCCGACAAGGAAAATAATGGCAATGGCAAAAAACGTAAACGTCCTCATGATCTCAATCATTCCCACAATAACGATATATCTGGTGATACTAAAACAAAAGATTCACCATCTTATCGTACAAGTCATTGGTCGAAGAAAAGACGCATTCTAGAGCCATATTGTTTTCTGAGTGCCAAAGCTCTGCAACGGCATAGACTTCGCTATAATATCTGTTTGTCACCCTGTGCAATGGGTAGACGAGTTGATTTAAAAAGTCATGACGATAGAGATGGAGGTGATGATGACGACGAGGAGGACGAAGATGAAGACGATGAATGGTCTAATTCATGTTCAGAGATTACAACTGAAACTGAAGCGGGTGATACTGAAGATACAGAATGTGATCCCGCCTGTTCTAATGGAAAAGAATTATTCAATGGTGAAAAACCTTCCAAAGAATCAACGCCGCGCAACAAAACCCAAGAAGAGAAAATACGTACTCCAATATTACCGGAAATTTCACAAGCCATTCTTGATAATCCAGAATTTCAACAGAAATTGGTGGAAAATATCAATCAAGCCCTAAATAGTTCAGCAACAAAATTACCACCCTCAAATTCTGATGTAAAGGCAACAGAAGATCCCGCATCACAAATCACAAACAATCAAACTACCAGTACACAGGATCAATCCGCGATAAGTTCCACTCAACTACTTGATCAAATGATTAAAAATATACTCGAGGCAACAGAAAAAGATCCCAGTTTTGATGCAGTAATACACGATGTTTTAGAAGCTTCAAATAAACCGATCGTACAATCAGCTGCAGTTCAATGTAATATTGGAGCACCAACGGCCGATGCATGCGTGTCCGCAGCTGTGGGAGATTTTAATAAACCTCTATATACATCGACTGAACCACCACCATTGGTTCCTACCCGACCCCAACCAGCAATGATTGATCAAACTTTAACGGAGCAGCATCAACTGCCGCAGGCAGTTAATATTAGCCCCATCGATATACCACCTCGAACACCTTTGATTATAAGGAATGCTGTGGCCGCAGCAAATGCATCAAATATGACTACTACGATGGCGAGCTCAGCCCAAGATCCTCCCAGTTTGACTGCGAATAATTCGTTTGGCTCGTTGATCGATCCGAATTTCTCCATCTCAAAATTGATTGTATTGAACTCCAATGACAGCGCCCAGAAACAACATCCCGAGGTCTCGATTGGTAATATTACAGCAGAAAATATAATAAACCAATTGACTACAAGCAGTGGTGGTGTAACAGAAAATGTTAGCGGCAGTGGTGTTGTAACCGATACTAATGGCGATGATCAAGTATTTTTCGATTCTTCAACTGGTCAACTAACATTTCCTTTATATTTAACCAATGATGGACTTTTAGCTAATTTACCATTTCTGATCAATAACGAAGTGGTAACACAACAATTACAAACAAATAATATTGCCAATATGGATGCTTCGCGCATAGAAATCCCCTTGTCTGAACCAATTGTTGTTTCAGCTGATCAATTTCCACGGAATTCAGTCATAATTGGCAGTATTAAAAAGGCAAATCAACAACTAGAAAATCCAACTGTCCAACAGCATACTGTAGAGAAGCCAATAAATGTTGAACAACTTACATGTAGCACTGAGCCTCCAGGATCGTTGGATACACGCTTGTCGGAAAAAGCAACTCCCTCAACTAGCGGTATTGTCAATACCAAAGCCTATCGTAGTCTTTCAACGCCACGAAAACGCGCTTCACATGTGAGAACATTAACATTCTCACCGCGAGGTCCACAATTCACGTCGGGTACACCATTATCCACAAGAAGAGAAGCTTTTCAAAGAATGCAAAGAAATGCTTTAGCGAAAAATGCCAATGAAGGAATAAATCCACCGACTTCACAGGCAAACAGTAATGAAGAACATGCTAAAGGAGGAAATTCTGAAAAACCCATAATTAAAAATGTTGAAATTTTGAAAGGGACAACGGCAAACGATACTACTTCCGCCTCAGTTAATGAAAGTACCGGTAATATACCACCACTTTTTGTGGCCGAGGAGTGCAGCAATCAAACTGTTATTAACAAACAGGTTTCGGCAGCGATAACGGCTAATGATACAGACAAATCTAATACCAATCTTTCGGATTTGTCCAAGTCTCAAAATTCGATTACTTCAGTCGAGAATACACCCAAACGTAAGCAACAGCGAAAAACTGCAGTACGTTCCTGTAAACGTCAACTATCCAAATCTCAAACCGAAGAAGATCTACAGGTCGAAAAAGCTGAGAAGGAAAATGAAAAGAAAATACCACCACAAGGTACGGAAGAATACGAGAAGTACATGTTGGAAGAATGGAATCGAATTAAGAATTCATCCAACACGGATCTTGATGTACGACTGAGGGAATTAAACTCAAAAATGACTGTTTTGAAACCAGTGAAGAAGGTCAACACAAAGAAACGGGTCAGGCGTAAAAAACCTGCTGCCATTAAACGAAAGGAAAAAGAAATGGCCGAAGAAGCAGAAGAACTTGAAATGTCTAAGGAGATGGTAAATGAGTCCCAGGAAAGTGTAAACGATTCACAGTCAGCCCAAAAGAGTACAAATGTTGATGGGACAAAGGGTTTGGAATCGAAAGAAGAACCTAGTTACAATCTGGAGTCCGTAGAAAAACAAAATGTTGATAATTTGGGTCAAAAGAAAAAGTCTAAAGAATTTTCCATACAAATTTCAACGCCATATAAAGTCGATGAAACTACGATAGCTGTTGCAGAGGTTTCTAGCGCACAAAATAAAGCCAAAGCTGAAGATCAGAAATCCAAAGCAGAAGAAACTGCGCAAACGAATCCTATAATTCCCAAAGAAAGTCATACAGAGTCTAAAACACAACCTAAAGAATTTTCACAGGAAAAAGCAAAATCACCAGTATCGGTATTTCATGCTCCATCCGGCCAAGCTCCCCACACGCACCACCATCAACCACATCATTCTGACCCTCCTCCACCACATATAAACGAGGCATTGGAAAGGGAGAAACGTACCAGTAACATTGCCTTACTACTCGAGACACCCTACAAAGATCCAAATGTGTCAAATCTCTCCACCGCATTTATGCCCCCAACACCTGGTATATTTGCCCCATCATTGGAAACCCCAGCTGGCAAGAATAGAAATCCACACGATGATATGCAGGCCTCAACTTCATTCCTATTTGGTTCCTTAACGAAAAGTGAATTGGATACACCAATGTTGAGTGCCCTAACTCCTGGTTTTCGTTTTACACCATTTGGCATAAAAGATGCGGCTACGCCGCGTAGTGTAACTGGCACGGAATACTCTTCGGGAGGGGGTTCATATTACAAACCTGATGAAAGTGAAGATCTCGATCGGAATATCGATAAAATTCTAAGGGATTCAGCACAAAAGAATCAAAGACAAGAACAAAATGAAGAAACCGATAGAACTGAAGATGACGAAGAGGAAGGAGAGATAAAATCTCCAAAAAGAAATCCCCCAGAAACAGATGAAGAACACGCTGCCCATGCCGTTGAAGTGGAAATTCCAGTGGAAACACTAAAAGTAGAACCGATTGTTTTAAAACGTGTCAAATCATTCGGCACCGAGGCTGTTGATAGCGTGGAAACAGCTAAAATTGATCCTCATTACACATTGGTTTCTGGTTTACCGGAAATAAGCGCTGCTGAAGATGAAGAATCTTCATCATCCTCCTCATCGTCTTCTTCGTCGGGATCATCTTCCTCCTCGTCATCATCATCATCGTCCGATTCAAATTCCTCTACAAAATCCAAAACTGTTGTGGAAATCAAATCCACCAAAACCCTCTTAGATTTGGATAATCTTTCGGAGATATCCAGCACAGAGGATGAGGAATGGAAGAAAATTGTTACCGAAAAGGATGAAAATTCCCAATTAGTCAATATTGATGGGGAGGTGCGTTATCCAGTACGTAGTTGGTTAACGCCAATTAAAGAAAACATTGCCACGGACAATTCCACCATATTGCCTATGCCGGCACCGGTTACAACCGCAACATCAACCATAAAGGTAACCTTGCCCCTCAAATCAGCAGAGAAAAGAAATCGCCAAATTAAAGAGCTTGAATTAAAAAGAGAACGCATGAAGGAGAAACTCAAGAAAGATGCTACGCTGGTGGGCGCTACTGAGAGAGTGGCGTCCACAGCAACAACAGCGCCAAATATTTCCGCAGCATTGGCAGCTACACGTTTAATGCATGCCATGCGTGATCACGGCAAGAAGCCTGCATGCTTTGAGATACCACCACAAATGTCGCCGCAGGTAATTACGGACGAAAAACGTTCAATAGATGTTCTAACAGCTCTACACTTATCGGCCAAAAAACAATTACCAAAAACTCCCGAATCGAATAAACCGAAAAATAAATCCAAAATCGAACATCCGCCTACGCCAGAAGATCCGAATACATCCAGAACGCCGGAAAATAAAGAAAATCCGAGGATGAATATTTCATCAGCCAGTGGAAAAGGCTCGCAAAGAAAATGTCTACCAATAGAGGCAAGGCCTGTTGCCAAGACCATAAGAAAAACAAATAAGAAAATTGTGCGAACGCCACTGGCCTTTAAGACTATTCAGTCACCAGGAAAAATTAACTCTCACAGCACAACTACAACATTGGCAGAATTGGCCAATAAATCCAAAGATAATTTATTATCACCAGCCATTGCAACTGTGAGAGTATCACCGCGCCTGGTTAAACCCAGAAAAACAACAAAAACTAAAAATTCACCCGAGTCCAAAACCAAAGCTAGTCCAAAAACCACAAAGGCAAAAACGGCGGCAGCAGCAGCAGCCCCAAAACCAAAGGCAACACGTGCCACCAACAAAAAGAAAGCCGCGACGTCAACAAAGGCTAGTAAAAAGAAGATGGATTTAGATGATCGCCGCGAAGGAATGTTGGATGAACGAGTGATAAAAGAAGATGAAACAAAATTGGAGGTACCACCACCCCCAATTCATCCCAAACTTAATATCAAACCTAAAATACCCTTTAAACCTGCAAAGACCAGTGGCAAAACTAAAAACAACAACAATAACAATGAATTAGCCGAAGACGTTGTGGCGCATGAAAAAGAACACCAAACTGTTACACCTGTGCAAAATGACGAAGCCCTGCAAATGGAACAGGAGGCAGCAATTAAATCTATACAAACAGAAATTACAAATCTGCCACTGGAACCAGCTGCTGAAGCCGCCGTCAATGATCCAATATCTGAAGATGATGCTACATATGATTGTGAAATTGTTACCTATGATGAAAGTGATTCAAAACATTTTATTCATTGCACCTATCAGGGTTCAGATGAACCACCACCTACACCAGTAAAAATACACGATTTGTCAAATTATAAAATGGTTGTTTCTTTGGATGGTGTTGAAGAACATGTTTGGCGTATCTCTGAAGGTATAACGCTATACACCAGCCAACCAGCAGTAAATCCTCCAGCATCATCATCATCGGTAATAAAAAGTGAACAACAGCAGGGTAAAATACGTACTGTTCCGAAAAAACGAAAAGTACGTGTAACACATATTGCCGATGATAAACAATCTGGTGGGCCATCAGTTGTGAATACAAAAATTGCAGCTGTATCATTGAAAGCGTTTACATCGGCAGCAACACCTGGAGCAACATCAACACCGGTGATTCAGGGTGGTGCGGCGATATCTCGAACCGAGGCGACGTCTAAAAAAGATGAAGGGTAAGTCATGGATGGAAATACTTTTCTATATTCATTTTAAATAGTTTCCGGAAAAAAATATTCCATAAAAAATCAACGATTCATATAGCGCCTCAAAATGTATTTCATAAGAAATCAACGATATATTTGGAGAAAAAAATCCTCGCTTCTTTGAGTCCCTCAAAAAGTATTTTTTTTTTATAAAAAAGTCATGCTTCTTTTAGTCTCTGAAAATGTATTCTTAAAAATCCCGTTTTTTAGACCATCAAAAAATATTCTCCAAAAACTGCACGCTTCTTATGGTCCATTAAGGACATTATTTAAAAAAAAAATCTCCCAAAAAATATTCCTTGGGAAAATCCACGTTATTTTTAGTCCCTCAAAAAATATTATTTACAAAAACCCTAAGTGTCGTGGATCGTGCTCCCTTCAAAACTGATTGACTGACTGACTTAACGATTTATCAACGCCCAGACGAAACGACTGAAGCTAGAATCTTGAAATTTGGCGAGAGGCTGGGTTTTTGGAAATTCGTACGAAAACTGCACGAGTGTACTAAATATGGTACAATTTGTATTTAGCCCCGATAGAACTAGAACTCTTAAATTTAAAATGAAGGTCACTGATTGCGTGTAGAATAGATGTAGCATAGGGGTTTTTTGGACGTTGGAACTACAAGTATCCGAAAAGTACTAAAATGTACTAAATTTGGTATAATATCGTAGCATGTGAATGGATAGAGCAAAACATTTGAAATTTGAAATGCGAATTAAGTTCGAGAAGTAGGTATATAAGCAGGTGATTTTGAACATGTACTTACGTATACGTAAAGTACTAAACTGTACTAAATTTGGTACAATTTGAATTTTAAGAAGCGGATGGATCTGGAATCCTGATATTTGAAATTAACATTTGCGTCAGAGTGTAGAAAAGCGATATGTTGTAGGTCGTTTTGAAAATTTGTTCACATGTGTACGAAAAGTACTAAATGTAGCACCATTTATTTGGCACAAGGTGAACCGAGCTAACCACTTGAAATTTGGAATCTGAATTAAGGTTGAGAAGTAGTTGTATAAGGAGGTGGTTTTGAAAGCGTATACGAAAAGTACTAAATTTGGTACAATTTGAATTGGAAGATGCGGAAATTTGTACTTATGTGTACGAAAAGTACTAAATGGTGCTATATTAGGCACAATTTGGATTTAGGAGAACCGATAGAGCTGGAACACTAAAACTTGGAGAAAATAATATTAATTGAGTGTATGAATGGGGGTATGGATATTTGGAAATTTGTACTCATGGGTACTAAATTGTACAACATTTAATAAAATTAGATTTTAGAGCTGGTGAAATTGATAAATTGATAATTTTGTGAATTCGTACTTATGTGTACGAAAAGTACTAAATTTGAAAATTTGGTCTGGAATCCTGAAATTTGGAAATAATAACTCTATTGCATTCTGTGTGTGTAGGTAGTAATTGAAATTTATAATTATGGGTACAATTTGGATTTAGGTGCACCGATAGAGCTGGAATCATGAAATTTGAAATTAGGATTGGAGTATGTGGGAAGTTTTGATTGTTAGGGTAGGTAGGAAAGGAAATTTATATTAACATGTACTAACTGCCACTAATTTGTATTTCGGTGAACCTATATTTCAAATTTGGATTTTTTTTTGAAAATAAGTAATAAATGATACAAAACTTGGTATAGAGCTAGATTTATGTTGTGGTCCGAATTGTTAGGCAGTGTTGCGATATGAAGGTAGTTTTGGAAAATAAAATGTTAATCATGGTAGTTTTGGAAAATAAAATGTTAATCATGATCGGTATTAGTTTTGAAATAATTCCATATTCGTTAGCGAAGTAGCGGGCATATGCTAGCTTCTTTTCGACCCTCAAAAATGTATCTTTAAAAAAATCACGCTTTATTTCAGAAATAATTCTTTTATTAATAACAAATATATATTTTTTTGATATCATTTCAGTACTAAAACGACGACAGCAAATAATTCTGAAAAACAATCGCCCCACAAAGAAGGAGAAGAAGAAGGATGTAATGTAAATCAAAAAATACACATAGAAGATATAGAATCTATATTATCGCATTTGCATGGCACTTAGAATCATCTTGTTTTTGTTGTTAGCAAGCAAAAATAATCAAGATTGAATATAAAGTGCAATGTTTCTTTGGTTTGGTTTTAACCACTATTCTTTTATACAAAGAATATCATAACACACTGTATTCAAAATAAAATTCGTTAGATAATAAGTACATAAGTTATATGTAAATTTTATAAGCTAAAAAATCATACATTATTTTTATTAATGTTAATATAGTTATATTAAATTTATTAATGGATTACTTTCGATTTGTTATGGAAAACAAAAACAATATTATTTTTTTTTTAAAAAAATTAAAAAAAAAAAAACGTCTAGGAAGGTTCCAGATAACGCAGTTATTTCAAAATCATATATTTTTTTAAAATCATTATTACTTTTTTACTTTGTTTTGAAATGTTTGTTGTTATGCGAATCAAATAATTTGAAATGTTATAGCCTAACAGTCGTTTTGTTTATCAAAAAAATACAATTTCGAATTCAAATCTCCGCTGTTAAGTTTTGAAACTTTGCCGTTTGAAAAATGTAATAATTCAAAAATATTATTTCATTTTATTTTACAACAACATGTAGATTGCACTGATATTAGTTTTGCTTATTATTATTTTTTTCTATTTATCGTTATTTGAAATAAAAAAAAACTTCTCAAAAAAACTATGTAAATTTATTGTATAATAAAATAAAACAAATTTTTTATAATAAAATAATTAATACTCTTAACTGGAATTTTAAATTAAAGATTATTCATTTTTGAAATATGTACTTACTTACTTAGCTGGCTTGTTACAGAACGGTTGTTCCATAAGTCGAGCTTAAAAAACATTTCCAAACGCGTCGGTCTTGTGCGTATCTCCTCCAAATTGAAAGACCACGTTCCAAGATGTTGTTTTCTACTTGGTCTTTTCATCTGATTCGTGGCCTTCCCTTCTATGGGAAGCATCAGTAGGTTCGCTTTTATATGCCTTTTGAACTGGGGCATTATCATTCATTCGCACAACATGGCCTAGCCATCGTAGTCGCTACAACTCAATACGACTGACTATGTCGATGTCCGCGTATAAATCGAAGAGCTCGTGGTTCATTCGACGTCGACGCAGATCGCCCCGTAGATTTTTCGGAGAATTTTTCTTTCAAACACCCCAAGAGCTCTCTCATATGCTTGCGTAAGTACCCATGCTTAAGATCCATATAACAGAACGGGTAGTATCAGCGTCTTGTATAGTGTGAGTTTAGTCTGGCGGGAGGTTGTTCAACCTATTATATCGATGTCATCAGCGTAGGTGAGTAACATGTGTTGTTTGCTGTATAGAGTGCCATTTCTGTTCACCTTTGCCTCTCGTACGAACTTTTCCAGCAGTATGTTAAAAAGATTACACGACAAACTGTCACCTTGTCTGAATCCTCGTTCGGTATTGAAGAGCTCCGAGCGGTCCTTTCTTGCTGATCTTGTGCAACTTAAAGTTGTCCTGCATAGTCGTATTAATTGTACAGGAATGCCGAACGCAGACATGGATTTAAACACCTCTGAACGGATAGGGCTGTCGAATGCGGCTTTATAGCCGACGAATAGGTGGTATGTGTCGATGTGTTTTTCGTGGATCTTTTTTTCAGGATTTGGAGCAGAGTGAAAATCTGGTCAATGGTAGATTTGATAGGTCTGAAGCCGCTTTGGTATGGTCCAATAATGTCATTGACCATTGGCTTCAGTCGTTAACACCACATACTGGATAGCACTTTATATGCGATGGATAAGGAGACTTATTCCTCTATAGTTGGCACATATCGTCTTGTCTCTATTTTTGTGCACGGGATACAGTATGCTGAGGTTCCAATCATTGGGCATGCATTCCTCTAGCCAAATTGTACTAATCAGCTGGTGTATGCTCCTGACCAGCATCTGACCACCAGTCTTGAATAGTTCGGCTGGTAACTCGTCGGCTTCTGCTGCTTTATTGTTTTTGAGCCGATTAATTGCTTTTATGGCCTCGTCTTGGCTAAGTGGTATACACTATATACCGTCATCTCTTATTGGGTCTGGGGTATCTTCTTCGCCGCCACTATTTGATACCATAAGCTTTTCAAAATGCTTCTTCCATATCCTTTGTATCTGTCACCAGGTTTCCTTCTTCATCTCTACAGTAGGATGTGCCTGCACCAAAACCATCGGTTTGGTGTTTTACTCGTTGGTAAAATTTCAGGACTTCATTCTGACTCCTGTACATCTCGATTTGCTCATGATCACGTTTTTCTTGTTCTTTCTTCTTTTTTTCTGAAAACACGTTTCTCCTCTCTCCTTTTCTCCCGATAATTCTCCATCAGGTTACGTCTTGCTACTGTCTGCAGGGTTGCCCTATACGCTGCGTTTTTCACATCAGTAGCACTACGACACTCCTGATCGTACCATGGGTTTCATTTCTTTTGAAATATGTATAAACACAGAATTAAGGTGCGGATATAGTCATGTTCTTAAATCGCATCGAGAGCACATTGCCCCCAGGTCAGCAAAAACCCTCAAGGTATACATCATCTATTTACAGGATGGAGGTTTAAAATAATTAAATTTTGCTTTAGAATATGTTATATTTTAATATAAAGAATTCAGAGAGCAGAGTAGCGCGCAAGGTTGTACATACATACATTTCGTCTATCATCCATATGAAATATTTTCAGACGGACAAAAGAAAAAATTTCGTAATTCCCGCATACACATCTAGTGAAATCTATTCCATTCACTCTTGACGATTTCCTGCAAAATTTAAAAATAAAATCCTTAAGACTACAGGACAATTTCCTCCGCACCTGCACCATCGTCGTATTTGACATGGTGGGTAAGTGTTCATATGTAAAGGACATCCTATGAAATATTCATAATAGCAAAAATTATGGATAATCACAAAATTTGTGCAGTTGACACGACAAATGATTTTTGTTGTGATTTCAGTTCTCAATTGGTTGCGGTACAGTCGTCGTATTCGTCGTTATGGATTTCATAAAAATTACAGTAATAATTTGGTTATTTGTTCCGGTCATAGTGGCAAATGATTTAAATATTGGTAAAAAAAAAGAAAATTTAAAAACAAAATTAAATATTTGAGGTTATGAGAGAATTTAAAATTTTGTACAGCTTTTTGGATAGATCCGGTTCAGAAGGATATTTATGGTGATATTGCTGCAACCTTAAAGGAAATTGAGGGATTACATTTGGAGACGAAAATCATTGATTCGGTAATTGTTATTGAAAATGGGTATGTTGGTAATGATGACGTGGATGAAATGCAGACCAATGAAAGAAACATGAAAACACGTAAGTAACAATATAAAATAGTGCATCTAATAAACCGGAAAAGGGATATGGAAACTATATTTACCTTTCATAGTGGAGTTAGGATTTGAAGAGGATAGCCGGAGACATTGTGCCAACTCTATTTGCTTTAGCCGTACGTCTATGGGCAATAGACTTGTAGGATCGGACGGACAATTGTATGTGTGGTGTGTGTCGTGAGGGCTTTGTTGACAGGATAGACATCTATTTTGGACAATGCGCTCTCCAAGTCATTTCAAGAAATACAGCTACTTCCATTGGCTGCAACCACAGATCTTCAGGAGTAAGATGAGTAGATTTGGCTGGGCAATTGTATAAGTGAAGAGTGGTTTGATGGCCCGTACAACATGCTGGGCAGACATTCTGCACCTGGTCATCAATCCGTGCCCAATACGAATTGAGACAATTACAACATCCAGAACGTAATTGGGCCAAAACTACTCTGGTTTGTCTGGGCATATTATTCTTCCTTTGGAAGAGCTGCAGGAATTATTCTTCCTATGGAAGAGCAGCAGGAGTCTTCTTCCTGTGGAAGAGCTGTAGGTATTTTTCCTCCAGGTATTTTTTCTTTTTACTCGTTGGGTGGGATGGCGAGCTCCGAGGACCGCATTCATTCTTCGATCTTCGTCTCTTCATAAAGATGGTCCACTGGTGTCATGAGGAGGCACTCTGTCGCAGTCCTAGGGGCGGCGTTCTGGCAGGTCTACATACTTCTCCATTGCGTATCACTAGTGTTCGCAGACCACACTGGAACCGCATAGCTTGTCACCGACCGACCTATCGTTTTGTAAGAGGTCAATAAGGTTTCCTTATCGCGTACTTTTCAACTTATCACAGATAGCTGTGGTTTGCGCGAACGATTTAAACATACTGTCGAATGTGACCCCGAGTATTTTGGGGTAGTTGGTCGTCGGAATTGTATGTCCCTCGACCTGCACATTCAAAGACATTCTCCACTCTGCAGTCCATATGGTGAATGATGTGGCTGACGACTTCGTGGCGTATATTTTCATATTTCTAGCTTTAAAGAAGGCTCCTAATTCGACGAGATAGGCGTTCAACCTCACACATATCGACGCCTCCGAACCATAGTATGATAAGTCGACTTAGCATGTTTTAATAAGATACTACGGTCCTTAATTTAAATTCTCTGAAATTTTGGTAATCATCGGCCAATCCAAACCAAAGTTATAAGCAAAAATGTACTTAGCATGGCACGTAAGATTCAAGAAACTTTCATACTTTGAAAGCTTCTACTGAAAAACTCACTTTTCAGACTTAGCATACTATTCTTCGGAGGCGTCGATATGTCCTCAACAATGGGAACCGACGCCATCATCGTACAATCAGCTGCATATGTAAGGATTTCTATGCCATCCGGAGGGCGTGTAATACTGGAAACAGTTCAAGAGAAGTCACTCCACCCTAGGGAACAGCCTCTTACTTCCAAAATAACAGGAGAATGTTGGAGTAGGATTTCGTTATATTTGTAGCCATTTAAGGCCTCGGAGACCGGCTGCTAATGCACGTCCGATGGAATGACGTCTTCCCGACGGATGTGTCAAACATTCAAACAATTTTTTTTAAAAAGTCCACACTTCTTTTAGACCTTGAAAAAAGTTCATTAAAAAATTCAGCGAGTACTTTAAGAAGTCCACACTTCTCAAAAATGTTCTTTAAAAATCCGTCAACAAAATTTTCTTTAAATGTCCACACTTCTCAAAAATGATATTTAAAAAATGCACGCTTTCACTTACTTAGCGGAACATTTGCTCCATAAAGAGAGATTAAATTTCCAGGCGCGTCGGTCTTATGCTCCGCTCTTCCAAATTGAAACACCATGTTTTGCAATGCTCTCTTTCACTTAATCTTTCTATCTAGTTCGTTTCCCTCCCTTTCTGCGGAGCGATCAGTTGGCTTACTTTTATATGCCTTTTGTGATGGCTGGGGCATCCTCATCCATTCTCACAACATGATTTAACCAACGTAGTCGCTACAGTTCGATACGTCTGACAATGCCGATGTCCGAGAATAGATGGTACAACTCATAGTTCATTCGACGGCGATATTCACCGTCGACGCAAATCGGCCCATATACCTTTCTTCTTTTTTCTGAAAATACATTTCTCCTCTCTTCTTTTCTCCCGATAATTTTCTGTCGCATTACGGGTTGCAACTTTCTGCAGGGTTGCCCTATACGCTGCGTTTTTCACATCAGAAGCCTTACGACACTCCTGATCGTACCACGGTGGTGGTGGTCATTGGCGCACAAGTGTTGTTTATGCTGCAGTTTGTAGGGAGTGGGCAAATCTATGCCATTGTGCTTCTATATTATTATCGAATTTCCGTGTTGTGTTAGATCGCTACTGCTACAAGGTAGTGGCAAAAAATATTCTTTAAAATATCAGCCATCACTGTGTGATGATTGGGATGATACGGCCAATAGCATGCCAACAGGAACAACAACATTATGTTGCTTGACATGGAGGTGATTAACGCTCGTTATATGGACACTTCCGGTTGCAATTCGTGAGGCATTATTTTGAGAAGTTTACAAGGATCTCAATTGTTTGTCACTAAAGAAAGAAGTCCAGACCGGGGCGGTATAATTAAGGATGGAGCGGCCCTATATGTCGTTACCAACGCTTCTTTATCCTTGCACCAGGAGGTGCTAGCCAAAGCTTTGAGAACTTTATTCCTAGATTTCACCTTCTAGTTGATGTAATTTAAATGTGCCAACAGGAACAACAACATTATGCTTGACATGGAGGTGATTAATCGTTATATGGATACCATTGCAATTCCAAGGATTTAATTCGTATACATTTCTAATATAAATTTGTTTTATTCCTTCCTATAGTTTGTGAAGTATTATCCGTTTCGGGTATATCGGTTATATTGGATTTTACCTATACACCCTGGCAACAAGGTTTAGAATATGTACAATCACATGGTATACCCTATATGAAAGTGGAACGCATCCTGCGGCCATTCCTGCAAATGTTCAGTGCATTTCTACGAGAAAAAGATGCAACCGAAGTTGTAATGTTGCTACAAAACGAACAGGACAGAAGGGAGGCAATGGAGGAGATTATACGCGGTTTACCATTTCGTACATTGATCTTGAATGCTGGCGACGGCAATAAAACCGATTTTGTTAATGTTTTACGTAATTTACGGCCAAGTCCTGGATATTATGCAATTTTTGCGAAAGGTTCGAATATGAATTCGATATTTGATAAGGTATGACTTTTGCTTATGGATGTGATCTGATAATAGTTTACTGATTTCTTTTGCAGATTCTCAAGGGTAATGTATTTGCCCGTCCTAAGGAATGGCATTTCATATATTTGGATACCAGAGATCGCGTGTTTAAGTATAAGAAGCAAGCAGAAAATGGCAATAAGTTTGCTGTAAATCCCAGAGCCGTTTGCAAGTCCATGCAAATGAAGGATGTCTATTGTCAGAGTGGATTTACGGTGAGTGTGATATGAAATGAAGATCTTAATTCACCAGCATATGAACTTTCAAAATACATTGTGGACATTTTTAAGAATCGAACCAAGGACTATATGACGTGTCCATTGACATTTTATAAATATTTATATAAATATTGTCCTTGGAGCGCAAATCGTATGATAATGTGTTCGAACAGCACAGATGACTTCTAACTGGATCTCGAGCGGCACTGCTTATTGCTGCGATGGTAATGGAGAACTTATGCGAAATGCAATGTCGAGACAGTCGGAAGCTCAAACCTCACCTAATGATATGTCTGACATTTCACCTACTTCTCCGAAATAGCAGAGCCTGCGAAAAGGAAAAGGAGAGAACAAAATCACTTATCAAGTGATCCACGATTGCCGTCATTCAGCGACACACAGGTACACCGTCAATTAGAAGCAGGTGATCCACGAGTGCCGTCATTCACCGATAGTGAGCAATTAAGATGCGAAATACAATCTCGACGCAGTCTGAAGCTCAAACCTCACCTACTGATACGTCTGACATTACACCTACTTCTCCGAAATAGCAGAGCCTGCGAAAAGGAAAAGGAGAGAACAAAATCACTTATCAAGTGATCCACTATTGCCGTCATTCAGCGATACAAAGGTACACCGTCAATTAGAGGCAGGACCACGATCTATTGAGAAAATCTGTCTATAGATGTCTTTGCCTTGGCATATTCTATTGGTACACCGTCAATTAACAAGAATGGAACTGAGTTAAAGAGATGATGATGACATGCGAAATGCAATGTCGAGACAGTCGAAAGCTCAATCTTCACCTAATGATATGTCTGACATTTCACCTACTTCTCGGAAATAGCAGACAAAAACTAAGCCTGCGACCATCCCATATACTCCTAAGAAAAGCAAACCGCATCAATCCCATATCAAAGGCGCTAGCCCGTAAAATCCACCAACAGAGAAAGCAGAGCAAGTCTGAAGCAACCGTTTTGGAGTGGTGTATAAGTGAAGAGGGAGATAATATGGCAGTGCAGAGAGGTTATGATGACAGATCTTGATAATGCGAAGCGGGTTCTCTCCACCAATCAGTCAGTGATACCGAAGGTTTGGAAGATGAGGATATAAAATCTAATCGGAGAGATTTATATCGTCCTATATCGGTTCTGTCGCCACTATTAAAGGTTTTTGAGCCCAACCATGATAAAGAAACTAAAGCTAGGGAAACATTGAAATGGATTCAGAAAATCACGCAACTCCACCACAGCCCTTACAGATGTCGTTAATCACATTGCCAATGGCCTCAACAAGATAAGACCTGCCGAGCGGACAATTCTTTTGGCATTGAATTTGTCCAAAGCCTTCGACACCACCGACCTGGTCACTTTGATAAACGACATCTTGAACTCTACATTGCCAAAAATAACCAAAATATGGATAGGTAACTATTGGTCTGTTCCCGTACTGCAAGAATCTACTACTTTTTACTACGATAACGAATTTTCCTTGATGATATCGACAAAAATAGTAAAATCGAGTAGATTCTTGCAGTACGGGAACAGGTCATATGTAAACGGCAGGCATATATTGTGTTCAGGGGGCAGCAGTGGAAGAGCCGCAGGATAAAAATGGGCTTCCGACAATTAGTTGTCATCTCGCCTTTCCTCTTCAACTTTTATATTTCAAAATACCCTGTTTACGCATGCCGACGATTGTTCCATCCTTGCATGTGAACTAGAAGTCGCTGAAATCGAAGGCAAAACAAACACCAACTTATCTTCGGTAGCCATAGAATCTTACAAATTTCTCCATCCAAATCAATCGCCACTACAAAGGTGGTTATGCTACATCTTAGCATATCCATTACAGACAGGACCACGATCTAGAATCCTAATATACTAGCCTTCTAAAATTCTCCATCCATACCACAACGCTAAAAACGAAAGTACAGAATCGAAATAAGGCGGTCAAAGCCATCACGGGCACCACATGGGACAAGGAGATACTTGTGGCTAACTGCAAAGCTTTAAATAGATCTGTCCTCAATTATGCTGCCGCAATTCGGACTTCGTTTACCTGTGACTCTCAATGGAGAATTCTTCTAACGTAGCGCAACAGAATGTGTCCAGATGACGAGTGTGGACCATCAGCATCAGAAAGCAAGGATAATGTCAGTGTAGCAAACAGTATATATCCCCTCGATACATTCGGAAGGTCATTAAGCGATATAGCAACGACATCCAGGAAGTCATTCCATTTCACATCGACCGATTGTCCAGGGAGCGCAACTTCGATCAGGATGATCAGTCATCCTAAAGGTGTATCAAGCGAGTGTTGCCGGAGTTCGAAGACATTTGTGCCAATTTGCAAGCAGGACCCGCATGATACAGGACATTAATTTGCATGTCCAGTTCAGTCCACAGATCTACGTCCCATTGATGTGTGGCTGAGCTCCTATAGAACTAACAAGCTGCAACTTTCAGTAGAAATGTCAGATGATTCTGTGTGGTTCGTCAATAAGCTTTCAAATTTGCAGAAAGCGGATAGCTCCCACCAAAAAAATTAACTAAACTGATGAGGAAGAATCAACTGCCTTTGTAGGAGGATAGGTCATTTATTATACCAAACTGAATACATGATCGACACATCAGTCCACAAAACAAGACACTGCTTGATTTTAATTTTATTTAACCTCAATCCAACAAAAATCCAAACCAAATGAAGATGATTTTGAGTACCTAAATTTGCACTATAGTGTTTTATATGTAGAAAGAATTCTGACCTTATATTCTAGATTAATTAACGATTCTAAACCATTGGGCGCCATTATTTATTTGTCGCCCTATCTATCTCCTATTTTTGTATACAGTTCCAAAGGGCCATGTTATTGGAAATATTTCGTGCCCTGATCGATATTAGGCAAAGCAATATGGGCTGGTTGGAGCCGATACAAATGGATTGTAACATAACCGACAACGAACTCATGGAGTATCACAAAGATTTCGATATATTGGATCATTTTAAAACCAACGAATTCATGACATTCTCCACAATCGGTAGCCAAAATAAATTTGATGATGAACCCGACGAATTAATTCCACCATTGACATTTGTGGCCAATGTGAGTATAACATTTTATTCCTCCGAACATGAAGCTGCTACCGATTTGGCAGTTTGGCAAAATGGTGAATTGAAGAAAATCAATCACACGATTAGTCCGGCCAAGAGGTTTTTTCGTATAGGGACAACGGAGGTAAAAAAGGATCACTAATTTATTGGAACTATTTTTGAACTAATGTTCTCTGATTTTAATTGTAGGCCATTCCATGGAGTTATTATCGAAAAAATCCCACTACCGGTGAATTGCTATTGGATGGTAATGGCCAACCCCTGTGGGAGGGATTTTGTATTGATATGATCGAATCGTTGGCGGAAAAAATGAATTTCGATTATGAAATTGTCACTCCCAAGAAGGGTAAATTTGGTCGACGTGATCCAGTGACTGAAGAATGGGATGGCCTTGTGGGTGATTTAGTTAGAGGTGAAACGGATTTTGTTGTGGCCGCTTTGAAAATGTATTCGGAGCGTGAGGAATATATCGATTTTTTGGCTCCATATTTTGAACAAACCGGCATTACGATTGTAATGCGTAAGCCCGTCAAACAAACTTCGCTTTTCAAATTTATGACCGTGCTCCGTTTGGAGGTATGGATGAGTATTGTGGGCGCCTTGGTGTCTACGGCTGTGGTCATTTGGCTATTGGATACCTATTCACCATATAGTGCAAGAAATAATAAGAAAGCCTATCCATATCCATGCAGGTAATTTTGTTTGAGTAACAATTTTCAAATTTATATAGAAAAAAATAGAAAATAATTCCGTTTAAAAGTAGATTTTTGTAGGATCTGGACCAAGACAAATTATTTTTTTATTTTTCCTACAAGTTCTGTGAGCAAACTGAGCTAGTTCCTCTCGTATCTTCTTCTAGGGAATTTACATTACGTGAAAGTTTTTGGTTTGCCTTGACCTCTTTCACACCCCAGGGTGGCGGCGAGGCCCCCAAGGCAATATCTGCAAGAATTCTGGTGGCCGCCTATTGGCTATTTGTTGTCTTAATGTTGGCCACATTTACAGCAAATTTAGCAGCATTTCTTACGGTGGAACGAATGCAAACACCAGTCCAATCATTGGAACAACTGGCCCGACAATCGCGTATCAATTACACTGTCGTTGAGGGTTCCGATACTCATCATTATTTTATGAATATGGATTTTGCCGAGAAGACTTTATACCGAATGTGGAAGGAATTGGCGTTGAATGCTTCGCGAGATTTTCATAAATTTCGGTAGGTACTGTTTATAAGCGCGGGATTTTTTATACACCTCGAAATATTCACCGGAGATCCCATAAAGTATTTTTTTATATATTTATACTTTAAGTTCCTCAACCATGGATTTTTTAGAAATATTATTTCAAAGTCATGTTTTCTAAAGAATATTTTAAGGCGACTATAATTGCAGTGCCGCCCAATAATTTTGCAGAGTTGGCATTGCGATTTTACTCATCCACTGGAAGCATGGCTGATCGCTTTTAGATATTTAAAAATATAAATTTAAGACTTGGGTTTAAAAAAATCAAGAATGAAAGCTTTACGAAAGGCAATCTGCTATTGCGGTTTTAAGGACTTCCAAAATAAATTTTTATTATTTTTTTTATTTCCTATTTTGTTTTTCTTTTTTTCCTGCAGAGTTTGGGATTATCCCATTAAGGAACAATATGGTCGCATACTTTTGGCAATTAATAGTTCCATGCCGGTCGCTGATGCCGAAGAGGGATTTCGCAAGGTAAATGAACGTGAAGGTGCCGATTATGCTTTCATACACGACTCGTCGGAAATTAAATATGAAATTACATTGAATTGTAATTTAACCGAAGTGGGAGAAGTTTTCGCAGAACAGCCCTATGCTGTGGCCGTACAACAAGGATCAAATTTGGCGGTAATGATTAGGCAGTTTGGAACTCCTATCCTTCCTAGGCTAATATATTCTTTTTTTTAGGATCCCCTAAGTTTTGCAATTTTGGAATTGCAAAAAGATCGTTACTTTGAGGAGCTAAAATCCAAATATTGGAATCGTTCACGTTCCAATTGCCCCCTGTCGGAGGAGGAACAAGGTATAACATTGGAAAGTTTGGGTGGTGTTTTCATCGCTACCCTATGCGGTTTGGGCATAGCCATGGTATCGCTGATCTTTGAGGTATTGTGGAATAAACGTAAAATTAAAAAGGCTGCTGGCGATGGCGTTCTTCAAGTAAAGCCTGCCGAAGTGACAAGTCCTGTGTCTAAAGTTTGGCATAGTAGTGCAGATGTTAAGTTAACACCACCACCATCATTTGAAACGGCAACATTTCGGGGTCGCAAAATACCATCGGGTATTACATTGGGTTCAGAATTTAAACCTGGACGTGTGGGTGGTGTAAATCGTCGTCAATTGAGTCGCAGTCGTGTTGAAGATGTGCCACCCAAGGAGGAGTTACCGGCCTATGTGGAATAAATGATTCATTTACCAATTTAAAAAAAAAAAAATGTCGAGTTACACCGTAGAAATGTAGTATACAATGTTGTTGTATTTTTGCACACTTTTTTTCTCTCTCAAAATAAATCTGTTGTATTGTTAATTTATTTGGAAATGTATAATAATAAGCAAATATAGTTTTAAAAAATTTTTGGGATACGTTTAGATTACTAAATCCACTCGATCTCAAATGTCAGTTCCATTGCGTATACGTCACGTTCAGAAATCCAGTGAATTACATTTGACATATAAGCAATGGAAATGACATTTGAAATCGAGTGGATTTCGGAAATCTAAACGTTTCTTTATATGGGAGCTGTACGACAATTTGGTAGGAAGATTTGCTACATAGAGAAACTCCAAAAAATACCAAATTAGCCCATTCCATTAAAAAATTAAATTAAAATCTCCAAAATTCCGAAGAATGGTAAGACCCAAACTTATACGGCATTTACAGTAAAACTTTTTACCGCGTTAATCTATTCTATGAGGATTTATTTAACATGCATACAATGGAATTGACAATTGAAACCCACTTGTTTAACGAAATCCGGTACAATGTAAACGGGCTATTAGGAGCATTTTCGGTAAGTTGATTTTCTACCCATTGAGACCCCAAAATGTTAAACTGCTTCCCCAAAATACGAAATTACAGCCTATTCGGTTGATATATTTCGTGGCTTTGCAATCGGAATGGCAAATTTAATGTCATTACAACCGGTTAATAAACGCCATTCAAAAACCATAATCGATAACATGGCATAATGGGGCTATTAATTTAAAGTACATTCTCCCCCTCGAAAAGAAGAAGACATAATTTTCTCTTTCTCTCTCGCATCTCTTGTATGGGCTATTAGGGATCTAAAAACTATTTCAAAGTCGATTAATCGATAAGTCGACTGCGCTAGCCCTCTTTTTTCAATTATGTTTTGTTCTCTCATTCTTCATAGATAAAAAAAAACAAATTCCTCCACTAAAGAAAAAAATTCAAGTTGGAAAGACGTTTGTTGGCTGTGTTCAAAAGAGAGTCTGTCGAGTTCGTGTGCGTCGTGCGTGTCCGTGTACGAAAACGGAGAAGCTATCAAACTCAAATAGCAAGGATATACAAAAGGATATGTGTTTTTGTGTGCATTGCCTTCCAAAACAAAACACATTGCTGACATTAGAATTTGAACGTTCAATGAGACAAGTGGACGACGCGCATAGCGTAACAAAATTTAATAACGCTGTTTCGTTCGGTTGGAAATCCTTACCATCATCATCATTTATGGAAGACAGCAAAGTTAATTTGCTGCTGTTCTTGCAACAACAACAATATTAATAATAATAACAACAACGACGTGCAAGGCGGCGGCACCAATAGATCAGGTTTAATAAAAAGAAAACACCTAAATGATGAACGCAATACCCAACAACAACAAAAATAATTGTTAAAATAATCCAAAAAGAAGAAAAACATCTGTGTATGCAAATGTTTTGTGTGTGTGTTTATGTCAGTTTTTTTTTGTGAGGAAAAGCAAAGTGAAAAGAATTTTAATAAATTGAAAGATATATTTTTTTTTAAATAAAAATCCACTATCAAAATTATTGCCTGTGTTAAAATAACCCAGCCCCTGTGCCTTCTTTGGTGGGGCTCATCATCGTCAAGCGAACGACGTGATGCAAATTGAATAGAAATACAAAAGAATAGCAATAGAGGAAAAGAAAAATACAAATACAAGTTAATTAATATCAACAACAACAACAGCAAAAAAGTGTTACAACAAAAGTGTCAATGAATGGAGTTAAACAAAAGTCAATGTGCGTGCGTGTGTGTGTTTAAATGCTAATTGTTGCTGTTATTTGTTGTTATTGCTGTTTTGTGTTTTAATAAATTTTATTGAAAATTCCAGCAAATGAAAAAAAACAACAACAACTTGATTAATGATTACCCCTGCTCTTTATTGTCATTGTGCTCTCTCAATCTATCTCTCTCGCGCGCGCTATTTGGTCTTTAGCTCTCTTGAGTAAACATAAAAAAGGAATTATTTTGCAAACAAGAAAAAATTGTCTACGAGAAAAAGAAAAACAAAATAGAAACAACAAATTCTGTTATCCCATTGTTGTTGTTCTTGTCTGTCTCTCAATTTTAAGTGTTGTTTTGGTCCACAGAGAAAGAGTGCGAGAAGAGCATCAACTTACAATATAGTTGTGTATTGTCTGCGGCTGATTTGTTGTTTTTGGCGTGTGTGTGTGGTTTAATTTGCGATAACAAACATTTCTTGTGCTTGGTGAAAGAAAAAAACAAAAATAATATTGGCGGCCCCATCAACGACGACCTCTGCCTCTTGTACACAAAAATCCGGGTCCCTTCCCCTTTTTTGAAGAGATAACCCCAACACAACCTCCTCGCCTCCCCCTCTCTCCAAAACATAAGTGTTTCGTCTTTTGCCCGCCACTCCCAACAAAAAAAGTTTTGTACAGCTGTTGTGTTGTGCCGTTACTGTTCTTCGTGTAAATCTGGCAAATTGCTGCAAAATTAAACAAAATCAAATTGTGGCATTTATTTAAAAAATGATCATGGCTAATAACAGTTCCGGTTCAGGTGGTAGTTTGGCTGCTACATCATCTGTGGCTGGTGCTACTGCTGCCGTTTGTCCACCAACTGGTTTAGTTGGTGCTGGTGGTTTTGGTACTACCGGTGTTGGTGCTTCATCTGTTGCTGCCGCCTTAAATTCCACCAACAGTGATCTATGGAAAGAATGCGTTCTATGGCTACAACGTTGCAAAGTCCTACCACCCGATCACGTGGCCACCGAGGAAATCCGTTCGCTGGCGTTAACATTACGCGATGGTGTTATGCTCTGCAATTTGGTTATGTTTCTGGATCCGAAATGTTTGGATCCCAGCGAAATGACAAAGCGACCACAAATGGCACAGGTGAGTGTGTGTGTGCGATAGTTAATATTTTCGATTAATAATATGTTTAATTTTAGAGAATAGGTCCATAGATCTTAAGGGATAATTATACAAAAACTTTATTTTGAAATCATCATTAGTGCAAGAATTTATTTCTGGACCCAAACAGATGATGATTGGAAAAACAATTTAAAATCGGATGCGTCTTAAATACACATTAGATTAAGTAAAATGCAGGAAGTCTGCCAATTAAACATGTAAACAATGCAGAATGAGACTAGCCTTGCACTGCAGTTTTTTTAGACCGAAATCTTCATCTATAGAAGGTTTTGATCTGTAAATGCTAGAAATTTTGTGAGAATTTAAAAACGAAAACTTAAGAATTCGATTATGGAGGTACCGTTATACTTTTATATAGATGTTATCATCAAAAGTTGCTCGATACCGATAATTTTTGTTATGGAATACAAATTGTAAAATTACAGCCAATTCGGTTGAAAAATATTCGAGGAATTTTCAAAATACAGAATATTTGGGGATACCATTTTATAGGGATCTATATGAAAACATGGACCATTTTCAATACCACATATCCCATCAGTAGTAGCAATGTATGTGCAAACTTTCATAACTCCATCTTATGATGGAGGGTATGAAATTACCCTTCAATCTTCTGCAATATTCCCAGACACTTTTGCTTGCTCAAAAGTCTTTGAAATCACATTTTCACCTGTGATGGGAACGCCTAATTCCTTGGATGCATTGGCTGCTTCTTTCAATGTCTATTGGATTCTACTATCCATAAACTGTACATTTTGATACAGTGGAGTCTCATTCCATTTGCAACATCTCGAAATATTCCAAGAAGACCCCATAAAGTATATATATATATTCATGATCCGAACAAAATTCCAGGTCCGTCCGTGTTATTGTCTGCTGAAATCACGCTGGAGCTAACAATATTTAAGATGGAGTTTTTAAAGTTTTAACATACAATGCTACTACGTCTAGGTTATTTAGTATTGAAAATGGTATATATCGGTCACGTTTTGGTATATACCCCATATAACGGTACCCCCCAAATATTTGGTATTTTGAAAATTTCTGGTACATTTGTTAAACGAATTGCCTGTAATTTGGTACTGTGAATTACCAATGAGTAACAAATCTTCATATTAAAAATTATAGGATTGGCCCACTTTTGTGAATATCTCCCATATAACGCTACTGCCTCCCATTATTCGATATTTTGGGTGTAATTTGGTACTTGGAGTTCAAATTGGGTAGCAAATCTCCCTACCAAATATTATCGATCACTTTTGAGGATAGCTCCCATATGAAGGTACCCCCAATTATTCGGTATTTTGGGAAGTATGGGTACGTTTATCAACGGAATTGGCTGCAATTTGGTAGTTTGAGTTAGCATTGGGTAGGAAATCTCCATACAAAAAAATTATCCACATCGCAACACTTTAGAAGATAGCTCTCATATAAAAATACTCAAGGACTCGGTATTTTTGGTATTATGGTCACTTTTTTAACCGTATTGGCTGTAAGTTGGTACTTTGAGTTCTTTTTGAATAGCAAATCTCATCGGACCTCTTTTGAGGATAGCTCCCAGAGTTTGGGTACGATATTCAACGGAATTGCCTGTCATTTGGTATTTTGACTTCTCATTGGGTAGCAAATCTCCCTACCAAAAATTATCGGTATCGGTATGAGGATAGCTCCCATTTGAAGGTACCCCCAATTATTCGGTATTTTGGGGAGTTTGGTAATTATTTTTTTTAACAGAATTGGCTATAATTTCATACTTTGTGTTTTCATGACGTAGCATAACTTCCCAACAAAAATCATCGATATCGGTGCACTTTTGAGGTTAGCCCCCATATAACGGTAACCCCCATTATTAGGTATTTTTGGGAATTTTGGGAAGTATTTCGACCAAATTGGCTTTAATTTGATATTTGGGGTTACCTTTGGATAGCAAATCTTCCTACCAGAAAATTATCGATATCTGTTCATTTTTGAGGATAGCCCCATATAACGATACCCCTCCATTATTAGGTATTTTAGGGAGT